CTTTCCAGCTGCCTCAACTAAGAGCACTATTTCTATCACTGTTACAAAGTTAATGTTGGTTGTAGATTTTTTTTACTCTTTCTGCTTTAATAATTATAATTTTCATCCCCATCACATCAGCAGCACAGACACTACAAGGTTAGTGCTTCAAAAACTTGATTGAACTTGCTTTAAAGTTATAATAATAATCATTACAATCATGCTGAAGAGTTTAAAGGTAACTTATTCAGCAGGAGTCAGAGCCAGTCACACTCTTATCTTATTTAAAGTTGTTCATCAGTCTCAGGAGCTCCTGAGTGTTTGACCTGAACAATCTGAACCTCGTTCTCTCTGCGCAGCTCACTGGAGTGGACCGAGGGTGAGAGTCGAGTCAGCTAAAAGACCACATCTCTACATTTGGAGCTGCAAACTGTGTGAAATCACTCAGTGTGAATAGTGCTGCAGCAGCTTGCCGGCTCAGAGACATTATGACTCAAGCACCTCAAACTCTGACTTTGAACTCTCCCCGCCAAATCAATACTTTACTTCAGCTCACCTGCTGGAGGTTCGACAGCTCTCAGCCTCTTATCTATATGCTAAACACTGAATAAATATCAAAGCACTCACTTATTTGTACTTTTCAACTCACTTTAAGAGTTATTTTTATACTTCTGGTACCTTTAATGTAAAACTAAATATAGATTTTAATATTAAATTTAGCTTATTGTATGTTTGACTGCTGTTACTGATAGTTTTTCCTCTAAATCTATCCATCCATTATCTTATAGCTGCAGTTTTCACCTCTGTTCAGCATGTTATTTTTCTCTGTCATGTCAGTTTTATTGGCTCAATTAATGGAAATATGCATCATCTTTTTCCATGACTACTTTAACTAAAATACTCTAAAATTAAACACTCATAGTATCCGAATGATCAAAAGTTAATAAGTGAGATCAGGTAGCAAAAATGCCAGATTTTCATTATTTCAGTAAGGTTTAGAAGCAATCCCATTGGCAAACAGATCGGTTTTCTATGATTAGATGTTCTTAATTAGTTGTATCAACCTTTATTTACTCACAGCCCGGTCTTATAATGGTCCTTTTTTAACAGTTTTGTGCCTTTTTTACTGTTTTTCTCCCCTTTTTATTGTCTCTTTGTTGAAGTGTATCCCCTTTCTGACAAACTTGAGGCCCTACAAGCCTCTCTGTATTAATTTCACCATTATTCTTTTTCCTCTTTCAGCAAACTAAAACACACAGCGCTCAGGGTTATTTTCCTGTTGCGGTGTGACGTCTCAAGTGAGATGTTTCTCTGCTTCACGTTTAAATCTATTGTAGCTTCCAGCTACATCCGGAAGAAACTGTCGACTGTGAACACAAAGCTCCTGAACGTAGCTTTGTTCTCTTTGAAAACTTACATGAGAAGCCAAAATGAAAAACATCCAACCTTTCTGGGATTCAACTTAAACATGCAAAACAGGTTTCTGCCTTTCCTTTTTTGTACTCTAAACATGTTTGTATTACCTTCTTAAACCATAGATTTTTTTAGAGGAGCATGGATGGGGGCCAAAAAGAAAAAGCCAGTGAGTTTAAAAGCCTTCTGATAAATGAAATACCTGCCCACTCTGCTGAAGTTCAACATAAATGCTGTTTCTGTCTGAGCAGGAGCCAAATTCAGTCATTTTTACTCAAAAGATAAAGTAGGATGTCACATTTGTCCTCCCTGCTCTCTTTTCTCCCTTACTACACTTGTTTTCTGGCTTTTCTCCTTTTGTAAATCTCTCTTTTGAACATGCTCTCCTCTTCAACAGGCGTCAGTCACTTTATCAGCGACCTGACAGCCTGTAAATTGTACCATTACGTGGAAGTGAGTGTTCAGAGGGTTTCTCTGCAGTAAAGTGCTGAGCGAGACTCTCTGAGGGACAATTTTCTCCTGATTCCTCACTTGTCTCCTAACTGTCTTCAGGATCATCAGGATCAGAGTAAAGAGGGGCACTGACCCACGGTGGATCCAGCAAGGTGGAAGAAACTAGAAACTGCAGTCAGAAAGATTTTGCCCGCAGTTTGATGTTCAACCAAAAGCATGAAATCGGTTCAACAAAGCAACCCTTAGGTCCACTTTGTAGGTGTCTATGTGGTATCATACAGTCAGTAACTGTAACAACACTGGGCCAAAAAACTGGTGGCAGGAGATCTGCTTGACCAGGGGTCGCCAACCTTAAACACTCAAAGAGACATTTGGACCAGTTTCCCACAGCAAAGAAAACACAGGGAGCCACAAAACCTCTTTGATATCTAAAATGAAGATAACATTGCATATATCGTTTTATTTTTTTTTTTTTTGTGAAATTAATTTGCTTAATGTGACTCTGGCTCCTGAATCTCAGAGCACATCGTCTCCACATCCAGGCTGTGTGACGCCACATTCATTTGCACATCGGTTTTCCAAAATCGTCAGTTATGATGCATATTTTGAGTGATAAATTTTTTTTAACATGGTTTATTTAATGTTACAAGAGCATTATAATCTTTGAATTTAGAATTACACAAAAAAATACTGAAATAAAATAAATTTAAATTAAATATTTATTATTGCGGATTGCCGCGGATTGCCAATCGCTGTGCTTGACTATCTTTGGTTGGCTTGGTCAAGGATTTGCCATCTAATTCTGTCATGTTGTGTAGTTTATGGTACCTTCCACATTAAAGGCATGGTTGACGATTAGAGAGATTGGTAATTATTACGAACCTTGCTTACATGGTGATCATGGTCCTATAGTGCGATCTCCACAAAGTGAAGAGAAAAATGAATGGAAAAAATCTGTTCACCCTAGCAGGTGCAGGACTGCAAAACATTGACCAATGGGAGCCATCCATCCCGGACAGTTCCTATTGGTCAATGTCCTGCCCCGCTTCTCCATCCAATCACCCCGCTATAAAAGTAGCGTAGCAGCTTAGCTTTAGGAGCTGTAATGGAGAAGGATGGAAAAAAAAACACTTCTGCTTGCACCACCAAAAGTGGGAAGAAAACACAAGCCGACAGAGGAAAGGGCAGAGACGAAGAGGAAATGTGACCAAGCGAGGAATCTTACTTGAATAAACATCGGGTCATCCTTCGAGCGGTCGATGAAGGATTTGGGCCTGAAAACAGACGCTGAGACAGCAGAGTTTTTGTTGAACAGGTAAATTTTGCCTTTTACCGTAGCACATGTTACATAAATAACTCTCATTACTCTCTGCAATGTCAACACAGTAGCTGTCCAGGCAGCAGCAGAAGTCACTAGCAATCCGACATGGTGAATCCTATTTGAAGCTGGCGTAGGATCTTCTGCCGGCCGGCTTCTTGCTCTGCCAGAGGGGGTGTGTAATGATACAGGTTCAGGAGGGGGAGTTATCTTGGAGCACAGAGGGGAGAGGTTTGTGTGTGGGGGTTGGGATACTTTTTTCATATCTGTCTCAACGGGTCAGTTTTTCTCAACTGCTTCTCAGATCATCAACTATGCCTTTAACTTTGTATTATCTATGTACGTACGGCAGCTCTTGAAAAACTAAAACTAAGCGGGCTGGATCACCCTGAAATAAGATCATTTTAATCTGAGAGAGTTGTTTTTGTCCCAGTTAAATAAAGAATATCCTGGACTCTGGCATTGATGTGGGGTACATTACACACTTTTACCTTTCACCCCCCCCAAAAGAGCACCTCATGTTCTTGTGTTTCATAATGGTTTTAGTTTTGGCACCAGCTGTTGTCATCGAACTTGAATCACCCACAGAGAATATAAATCTGAGAGTTTTTCATCAGCATAAAACTTTTTAAGACTATCAGGACCAAGCCAAAGGGTGCCAGCAGGGACAGGAGACAGACTCTGGTTTTAACTGACATTTTGGAAAGTCAAAGATCTCATTTAAAAGTAGTGATGCATTAAGACTGGACACCGGCCAGGTATGAAGCCATTATTACAAATAAAAGTTAAAGGAGTAAAATTTTTTAAGTGGCCTTTACTTTCATTGTCATTTAAATTCATTTAACCTTTATTTAGACAGGCTAGCCCCATTACGATAAAAAATCTGTTTTTCAAAAGGCAACTGACAGCAAAAATATAAAGTTGCAAACACAGATACTCAGGGAACCATAATTCAGAATGAATTTCAATGTTAGTGTCTGCTGTGTGTTCAATATTTCCTCTGCCTCAGCTGGACACCAGATATCCAAACTTGTATCTGAGTATTATATTAGTTATATAGTCTATTAACCGTTCATATGTGCCCAAACTGTATTACAAATTGAAGCAGTAACTGTTAAGTGAATAAATTCTCCTTTTATGATTTGTCTGTTTTGATTAGATTTCAGATGTATGGTTCAGCTGCATGAGTGAAGTGGATTTATTTGCCATTTTTCAGCAGATAAATAGTTTCTCTGTTTTAAAGGAAGATTTTTAAAAGAAAATGTGGCTAAAAAAACTGTCATGATGTTTGTTTAAAAACCCTGTGAACCAGAAAACTGTACACAAATTACTTCGATCACTTTGCACTTGAATGAAAAGAAATTTACGTCCAGATTAACTATTGCGCTGTTAGGCACATAGTGGTATTTCTGGCTTTGGTATCACACAGTAGAAAGCACAAACCAAATTTTTAGGGGTTTTTTTTATGGAGAGTGAACAGCAGATTGTCTTGTGATTGTAACAAATATCCCTGAAAACACGACTGCAGCGTGATTTTCCCCTGGAGGACGATAACGATCTCTGCCATAATGATGAAACATTCAGTTTCAAAGAGCAAGAACGCCCCTTCTTTAACTCTGCGGACACACACACACTTCACAAACATAATGACCCTTACCATCACAATAATAATATAATCATACCTGAGTGTCTGCAGAGTGAGTCTGTGTTTTGTGCAGTGGACCTTGTCTGTTGCTTTTTTCTGCAGATGGAAACCTCCTTAATGCTGCAAAAATGGTTCCTTCAACAGGGTACCCAACACACGCACAAATAACACAACACTTTAAGTCCAACTGTAGCAATTTCTTTATATAAAAAAGAAAAAATTCAATTTCACTTTGCATTGAACATGCAAATTAAGGAGCAGATGGTCATTTCACTTCACCAGACACTTTTCTCTTCTTCTCAGGAACAAGACAGAACACAGGCAAGAACATCACGTGCAAATGAAAATAAAAACATCATCATACTAACAAAAAAAACCTGGGGATTATTGTTTCTGTGCTTAAATTTCTTTCTCAGACCCTGGAGAATTATTTATAATGGATGGGGAATGATTTGGTTGCCACTAACTGCTGCCTCTGTGTATATATCTGTGTTTGTTAATGTACACTTGGGGAGACATTGACTAGAGCGTGATTTTCGGGACATATATTTTTTTACAGACCTCAGCTCCTTATAATGCTATCATCAACATTTTTCAGATTTCTTTTGCATAAAATCTGACCTTTAGATAGCAGACACTGGGAATTCTGTCAAATTTGGTCTGCACAAGCAATGTGTGTGTATTTGTGTCGGCCTTGTTAACATGGATGCACTGAGACCTGCTCCAAACAGACCATTTCACATCAATAAGAAACTGTCAATATGACCGACTGCCTCAAAGAAAGCATTTAACCTTTGACTCGCACAAACCGGCACATTAGCACACTGAGATCCCAGCAGGTTTCACTGTCACTCTATCAGGACTGTATTGACGCTGTTAGCATCTCTGTGGTAACCCAACTCCATTCTTGGTCACAGCGTATCATGCTTGTGTAATCATGGATATCTTGACCAAACTGATTAACAAACACTGAAGAACCCTCCAGCATGCACCAGCAGTTTCTCATGTGGTTCCAGCTCCTCACTGATAGAGCTTATCGTCACAGAATCATGCACAGATCTTGATGGCATTCAAGTGTGCAACTGCTGAATTGAAATTAAACTCTCCTGTTTCATGTTTTACTCATACTGACCAAATCTTCTTGGGTGGTGAGTTGTTGAGCCCACAATACGTCAAGTTGGTGATGTTTATTTACACTCAGTTATTATTAAGAAGCACCTGATTGTTGCCAGATGCAACTAAAGGAATTTCGATGTAAGAAAAAAGATGTAAAGATGCAATTTTTTTTAAACTTTAAATTATATTCTTTGGCCTTGCAGCACTTTTTAAAAGTTTGCTGTCCCTGCCCCAACTGTTTTAAAAATGCGTTTGTGGCGACAAATTTAAAAAGATATATATATTTTTCATGAACAGATTATTTACTGTTCCATCAGCTGACCCAATATGTTATCTTTGCAATATTTTTAGTTTAAAAAGCTCAAACTGATTTTCAAAACTTCATGTTCTGTTGAGATCATCATTTTAAACTGTGTTAAAAACTTTGGGTTTGTAGTTTATTTTGGCAGATTGTTAAGTCTAATAACCTATGAATTTAAAAAGAAGAGTGCATATACATTACATAACAGGATCTCAGCTGCCTCATAAAAACTTTGAAACTTGATTTATGTAAAAACCTGGGCTTTTTTGTAGTACTTCACCAGCTGCAGATGTAAGCTCATAAATTCATGCTCTTTTGGCATCTTGAATAAAACATCACACATCAGCCTGAGAGGGTGGCGCCTGTTTTCTAACAATCAAACAAATTGTACCAAAACACCACAAAAATCACACATCATGCTCGAACAATTATATTCATCTTTTTATAGAAACACCAGAATCACACGGAGACCAGGAAGCCACAAACAGCCCACACCCAGTTTGCAGCAGCTGGAGGGGACATCAGATCTTTTGTAGCGTTAAATGAAGTTTGGGGACTGTGCGAAGGGAAATCAATACTAATCAATATCAGGGGTTGACAGCTTTTTCTCCTGACACAATTTCAGGACGCTGTTGCTTTCTCTTTGGAGCAGAGACAAATTTAAAGGTGAGCAGATACAAGTTTCTAGTTTGGAGCTGTGCACACACATTGTCATGATATTAGATAAGTGCAAACACATTGGAGAGTCCACGTCAGACTGCATTACTCTACCTTAACGCCAAACTGCAGAGGGTTGTCTTGTCATTCATCCAGTTTCTGGTCCTGCTATGTTTCCTCTGTCTTTGGGTACAGTAAACTATTTCAACTGAGTATCATGAGTTTGAGTTGGAACCAATATGTTTTGTGCAGCAGCTACTTAACCACTGAGGATGGTGGCAATATTGGAAAAGTCTGGAACCAAGCTGACCAATCACAGGATGTAGCCTGTAGTTACCTTTATGAACAGGTGAACAATGTAGGTACAGAAAAATTCAAAAATTTTGACGGATCTCTAGTTTTTGCATTGTCTAAAAATTTAAGCTCTGCCGCTGTCTTCAACTTACATCCATAAAAACACAGAGCCGTGTCTTTATTCCTTCCTTCTTAGAGAAGTTTATCCCCACTACCACCACTTTTTCCCATCCCAGGCCCTCAAATATTTCTGCACCTTTTTCCACAGACTGGCTCAGGCTTTACCTCAAACTGTATTTTACACGGTTGTCTAAATGAGTTTGTAGTGGAGAGTGTATCTTAATCACTCTATCTACGGCACTGCTGTATTAATAGGTTGGAAACGTAGACGTGTTTTTACAACTGTAAATGTAAAAACTGAACAGGTGTGACAGTAAACCTGCAGGGGAGCCAAACTCAGTTTTAAGACTTAATAAACCCAGTAGAAACAGATCCATGGATTACTGTACATTTGTTGAAGTACATGCGCTGACAGGTGATGTTGATTTAATTCACACATGCATTAAAAACATTTAACGCAAACCCTTCAGCCAATCAGAAACAAGAATACACCCAGGTTTTTTAAAACACAGAACATAAACTCTCTGTTGTCTGCGGTTTCTCTGCAGTTCCCTGAATGAAAGTCGTTTTAGAGTTTGCAAAGGATGCTCTCCTTTGTGGCGAGCTGGTTAATCAGCGGGGACACAAACCAAACTGAATCATGCTACAACAGGACAAGCCTGGTCCCCGCCGGACGCCACAGAGCTGAAGCAGACAAGAGGCAGAATTTATCACTGACAGGCAGCGTCTCCCCAAACTCTTCATCCGCTTCCTCCACCAGGAACCTGTATTTGAAATCTCAGCATTAAAAAAAAAAAATTACTTTTCTGCTTTTAACAGAACTGACAGCGTTTTCTTTGCACTCAAAGCTCCGTGATGAAATAAAACTTTTAGCTCAAAAGCATGGGATTTTATTGAGGTATCACAGCAGCAGCAAACATGACCAGTGTACCCCACAAGCTTTTGATCAGCACTTCATACAGGAATGAAAGAGGTTCCCAATGGACAGTTTGTCGTTTTTATTCAGCCCATGTCCTTTTTTCTTCTTCTCTGTTTTCTTCAGCGTTTCTAAGACTCTTTCCATTCATGTTAATTTCTTAACTAGAGTCTGTCGGTGTCTGTCCAGCCCTTATGGACTCTGCTGCTCCATGTTATCAATCAAAGGGGCTTTCTTCATAAACTGCAGGTGTCTAATGGATCTCCACACTCCCAAATAGCTGTCACTCGCAGACTGACCTGTGGTGGCGTTTTCTTTTTGGATGTGCTCCCTTTGCATCTCCAGCACCTCTTTGTCGCTCATGACCTGGGAAGTCATACTCTCTCCTGTCCAAACTTCTCCATTTGCCAAGCCAGCCGGTGCTGCCTCCTCCTCCTTTCCATCAGTGCTTATCACCCCCTCCATCTCCTGATCTCCTGGATCCCCTCCAGCACCGTCAGCAGGCCCATCGCCGTTCAGCGGCGGTTTCTCTCTGTAAGGCTCTCCAGGTAGACCTCCATCCTTCCCAGACTCCTCCAGGTCCTCATACAAGCTCTTCTTCTTCGTCTCAAAGTACTTGACCACGCAGTAGGTAATAGAACCAACAGTATTGACCACCACGCCACCGATGAACAACCCTGTTGGAGCGACGTCGTTGAAGGCCAGCATGCCCACGGTGATGGTGGCGATGCTCTTCACCACTCCGACGAAGCTGGTGGTAACAGCAGAGTTGATGTAGGTGCAGTGCAGTGTGGTAAAGTTCATGGCACAGCCGATGAAGACACAGAAAGTGAAAATGACTGTGATGCGAGGGTCCTTCCAGCCCTCGTAGGACCACATGTTGATGGTGTCCATAGAGATGAAGGAACACACCAGGAGCACCTGAAAGCATGGAGACATAAAGTGAGGAAAGAAACGGGATACAGGTGTTCAAGAAAGATTCATAAGGATGCAAAAAGACAAGACCAAGGAGGACAGGGATCAGAGAACAAAATAAGGAAAGGGACAAAATGAAAGTAAAAACTCAAAGAAAACCAGAAGACAAGAACATGCAGAAACTGCGGGGAACAAAGGCCTTAAAAGAAAGGTTTGGGTCTGTACCGGTGAAGCCATGATGGCGATGGCATACTGCGCTGTGAGTGGTCCGTACTCGCTGTCATGACTCGTCTTTTGGATCAGAACCAGGTAGGAGGCGTGGATGATGACCGCTAACACACCTGTGACATAACCGAAAGGATCGCCGGTGAGATCGCCCGCACCTAGAGAAGAAAAGACGAACAAAGTGTGAAGATGCACAAAATGACAGACTGATTAGAGCTCAAAAGGTGATCTGCAGTAAACTTTAATGACAAGTTTTTCTCCATTTGATTTAGTCAGACACACACAGATTGCCTTTGCCAAATATCTGCCCCTATAAGCTGATAAACTCCATCATTAACACCTGAACTAGAAACCAATCCCTCGCTGTAATGTTAGGTTTGTCCTTGTGAGAGGGATCTTATTTACAGAGGAGGAAATGATAAAAATAGAACAGTAACAAGTTTTCAGGAAGGGGGGAGGAAGACGAATCAGGAGAGGACAACAGAGTAGGAGGAGGATGAAAGTAATGAGGGAGACGTAATCCTGTGCTGAGGCCATGTAAGCTGGAAACCTAAAACCACACTGAGACAGAACAAAACACATTGAAAAGGAAAGAAACAAGACTCCAGACCACATGTACCCCATATCAAATTTAAACAGTATTTGAGAAGAGAGGCGTTCGTGGAGTTCCAATAATGAAGGTGTTACAGGACCATGTCATGTATTCGGAAAAGTGTATGGGATCTAAAATTGAGCCCTGGGGGACACTTTTTTCAGAACCAGCTGGGATTGACCAAAGATGTAACTATAACATGATCTGTTGGTTTCTTGACTGCATAAACGAAGTCTCGAGTTGACCGTTTGGCTACTACCATATTTAGAGAGTGGTGCTGGTGTTGTGTCGTTCATGAACGCTTCATTCAAAAGAATGGAACTGCTGAGTGAACGACATAAACTGAATCACTCCGAGATCTGATTCGTTCCTTTCTCAGTTCAGTTGAGCTCAGCTGCGAGCCTGGCATGCCTTTGACTCATTGGCGAACGACACACAGCCAGACTTTAACGCAAAGTCATTGTAAATCTGATTCAGCCTGCAATGTTGTTAGAAACAAACATGAAGTACAGGGTCTAAAACCGACTCTACACCAGACTGTTACAAATGTATTCAGGCTGTACAGTTGGACATTTAAACATGGGACTCTATGGTGATTGACTCGTTTTTCAACACAGCCTCTAGTGGACACTTACGGAACTGCAGATCTGCTCCAGTTTCAACACCATACCTTGCTGCTTTTGTATATGGTGATCGTAATGGTTAAATAAAAAGCTATCAGTCATTAAACAGTTCTATCACCATTACAGTATCAGTAATGAGCCCTGTATAGTAGTGATTAAAAGTTACTGTGTTTTCCTCCAACGCTCTAAAGCAGTTTACTTCTGGTTGACTATAGAGCCAACATACTTACATCAAGAACAAAATGATTTATCTCACTTGATTAATCCACATATGTCTGCAGGATGATGATTCTCCATTATTTTTTACTGCGAGGAAAGGAGATTACCATGAAGATTAAACCCAGAATGATGAATCTGTCCATTAAAATCATATTCTGCACATTTCACGCTCAGTTTTCGCCCCCCTCCTGTCTGAGAAACACACAGCAGCGACAGAAGAGATTGATTCTGGAAATGAATTATCTGTAGATATTTTTGTTTATGAGCTGAAGATCATTAAACTATAATGGAAGAAGAAATCTGAGAGAGATGATTAGAGGATTTTTACAAGAGCAGAAGGTGATGAAGCTTTCACATCTACGGAGAAGCTGTTAAACTGGATAAAACAACATGAGCTCAGAGGGAGGTATGACATAAATTTAAATTGCTGTAATTTTCCTCTCGTTTAAATTGGTGGAAAGTGGGTTTTTAAGGTGAGTTTTGGGAATTTCATCACCACAGATAAAGAAATAAAACCAAAGAGCTGCCAAAACGTCAAAGACAGACTTGTGCGTGCATGTTTAATATGTGTGTTTACCAGCCAGAGCAGCTCCCCCGGTGGTGATAAGCACCGCAGTCACCACGCCGATGGATGGGATGCCGTTCCTCAGCACGCACACGCCGATGCTGAGCGTGAAGAGCGGCAGGCACCGTTTAAACACCACATACATGGGTAGACTGAGGCCGCGCAGAGACCACAGAGTCAGGGTGGACTGCAACGTGGAGAGGACACACACAGAGGCGAACTCCTGCACATAGAGAAACACACACACAAACACATTTTTATCACTTTGAAGGACAGTATATCAGCTTACGTTCACTCTCTGAAGACCAACGTCGACCTTAACAACAATAACTGCAGGAAACCCTGAGGGATCAGATAGTTGTTCCCTAATGGGAGTTGAGCCCTGTTTGTGTGACCATGTGACACGCGTTGCACAGAACACACTCGGTCACAATGACAGCATGTCCAAAACGATCTCTATTCCAGCTCTAATGACACAGCAGCTTGGTCATGTGCTGCAGGCTTTAAAATAAGCTGTGCACAACTTGAATATGTACAGGGTTCAGTGGCAAACAGAGTGTCATGGTTCATCTTTAAACTCAAGGGTCTTGCATACATTGTTGTTGCACATTAAAATACCAGTATGGTGGCTGGGCTGAATGAAATGCTAATTGAAATCTCCCGTGAGGAGTTTTTATCTGGTTAATAAACAGACCAACCTAAGACTGTCTTTAACCTATGAGACCTCTGACAACAAGAGTGCTTTCTCTTTTTTTTGCGATTACTGTATTAGTCCTGATATAAGGCACCCAAGATCCACTTTTTAGATTTACTGTAAATCTCTGTATATTAGAGTCGCTTTTGATACTTGTTTCTCATCCAAAAAGAGCTGCATGTGATACATTGTGCAAAGATAAAGCGCTTTAAGTGCAGAGAGTGGTATTCTGTGATACAGTGTCTTACCCTGAAAATGGCACTTCATAAACTTCACTTCAGATATGCTGGATACACCGCAAAGTTAGTGGAGTAACTTCATGACTTAGTCGATCGTCTAAAGAAAGTAATTGTACAGTAAAACACTTCTGCAGAACTGTCTGATTACCACTGTCAGACATTATGCTCTGTGGCTTCATGTTTTAGCTCTGTAGCAGCTGTTCAATATCTCTGCTCCACTGAAAACTTGATCTCAAAATCAGCATCATAACTCCACCTGTTTGATGGATGGCTCCACCCACTTTTGAGTCACTTTAGTCTAGACAATTGACATGGTTCTCCATCTTTCCTGTAGTTGTGCTGTAGTTGTGAGCGATGGCTGGCCAAAGTCTTGTGTGGAACATTTGCTTATATTGTTTAGGGAAAAAAACAGGCTTTTGATAACTGTTGATGCAACATCTAAGCAACTGTTTGTTTTAGACCTTTACCTTCAGCTGAATCATTTAGTTCAGTTCTCAAAACAGCTTCAAGATTTAACTCGATTATTTTTTACACCTTTCAAAATTGGGTAAACTCAGAAGCTTTCCTCAGGCAGAGTGAAGCTGACATACTGGGTTTTTCAGCACCGATTGCTGGTGCTGAAATTCGAGCTAGGTCATTGTTTATTCATCAAATATTGACCTTCGTCAGGCCTGGAGGACTCTCTTATAGATGCACATGACACTAACTGAAATGGTTACCCACTGGAGGAAATCCTGGACTGTCGGATTAACTGCTCTGAGGATCTGTGGGAAATTAGTTGATGGAAATTAACAATTTTCTTTATTGCAGGATTTTCCACTGGTGGTTGGTGTAGGAGTATGGTGGCAGGATTTGACCAAACTGTTTCACCTCTACTTTGAGATAAAAAAGATGGACATTAAAACCAACACCAAATGGTTCCTTCAAACAACAGCTCAACAGACGCGTCTCCATAAGTCCATCAGTGATAAAAAGCTGTTTTAAAGCATCAGGAACAAAATCCTGATTATGGGACGTAGTGCACTAGTACAATCAGTGGGTAAGGAAACTGACTGGATTTTATTGATACTGATGCCATCAACAGTTCTATTTATTGTTCCGATTCTTTATCTTTTGTGTTTTTTTGGTGTGGAACTTGGCCTTGAGTCATCGTTATGAAGAGTTTTAGTCCCCTCCCTCTGCTCAGACCGGAAAGCCTGGCGTCAAATTGGGGCTTTATAAGTCAGTTGATCCCAGATATAGCCTCTAGTTAGACCACATACAAAGACAAAGATGGCAGCCTACTTACAACATAGTAAGCTAGCATCAGACATAATATCTCTTTGAAACTGAGACATAAATCATCACAGATTTCCTTTATTTTTCAGGGGTTGGATCCGGACAGTCTCTGTAAATATACTGAGCCTATCTGGGATATTAGAAAAGCCCATGGATGTCAGGTTTACTGCCTTAAATCTGTCGGTCTAACAGAGCAAGTGGATTTTACAGTTAGTTAGCATGTCATACTGTCTAATTTTCAGAGCTGAGAGAGCTTTCTGATCTGGGACCTGTTCTTTTATTCCCATTGATCAAACTAATCACTGTCTGAAGACTTGTGCCTATATTCCTTATAACAGGAAGGTGGCACTTTTTGGTGCAATTGCAGAAGAAGTTAAAATTTTTGACTCAGAGGTAAAGGTTGTATAATAGTATGTAATCTAACGGGGTCCCCGGACAAGTTAAACCCGTCTTCAGGATGTTTTCAGTTTGATGTTAATGGTATTGGACTCAAGGTTCTTCACATATTTCAACTGGAATTTAAGAGGTAAACGAGTTACACCAGCCTCTGGGGTCCATTAGGGCAGTTTTAGATGGTGTTGGACCCAACAATCTTTACATATTTCAGTCTAAACCAAAGTTGAAGAAGTCCACACCAAGCTTCACCTCCAAGGTATTTCAGTTTCTTCAGGTCCTTGATTCAACAACAAGATTAAACTGTTCAAAGATCCAGAGACCCGTTTCATTTTCCCTCAGGGTCCAAGAACAAGTTGGACTATCTTCTGAAAAACATCAAAGACTGAGATATCACAGGACTGCAAACTCTCCAAATAAAACAGTCAGGACTAAACTTGTGGTTTGTCTTCTTTACAAACTTTTACCTCTGAGAAATCTTCAATTCTCAGGACTTTTATTCAGCAAGGAGCTGGAAAAAGTAAAAAGATCTGTTTTTACTCACCTTAGGCCTTGCATGTCTTCCTATTTTCTACGGATCTTTCTAAAAGATGCAACGTTTAGTCCTGATGGTGTCAGCTCATGAAGTAAATATGCCATAACTTTTTAGTGCAAAGAGAAATGTCACAACAAGAACTGATATATCCACATTTTTAACAGGTTGTTGTCCTCAGAGCCAAAGTGACAACAAACCCTCAAAGTATTACCTTCTTTGACAAAAAGTGCAAAAGAAGCATTAAGAAAGAAGACTTTAGGGAAGACAAAAAATTAAAAAAAGAAAACTCCAGACAGAAAGGCAGATCTACAAAAATCTGCATTTCATTACAGAGGTGCACTTTGGATGGAAATGAAAGTAAAGCAGAGGTTGCCTTTTCCTTTCTTGATCAAAAGTAATCAAATCAAATCTTTAAACTATGATGTTCAAACAAAAAAAGCTTCTAAAAGAGGACTGGATCAGGTCCAATCTTGTGCTGTATCTGGACAGAACTCTAGTTTGTGATGTTTATGACTTTCGGGAAGGATTGGGGACATTTTGGGGCACAGCTTAATGCTTTTGGAGGATATAGCAGAGACTAAAGGGAGCATATGCAGCAAAGGACCAACAGTTGGAGTCAAAACTAAACTGCCTGTCACAAAGACTGAATCCTCTGCAGATGGAGTGTATGATTTTCACTCCTGAGCCAAACCAACACCCCAGGATTGGGATAAATTTGAGCCAAAATACAAAGAACAGGTTGCTTTTTTTAAGGAATATCACATCAAGAATTACCACTGGACTTAACTGCAAGAACAGTACCATAAATACTTAAGTTTTGTCCTTAGTGGGTGAGTCTGAGTTTGAGACCTCTGATGCTCAGAGATGCTGCAGTTTTGGAGACCAACCCAGGGATAAGTATCAACTGTGCCAAAAAACCAAAGGAACTTAAAACTGGCAAAGAAAAAAATTCTAATGCTGACATGTCCTTGTTTTTACAGCCTAAAGGTCTAAATGTGAACACCCTGAACTGACTGAAACTCTGTCTCAAAGTTTATGTCACTGACAACAACATTTTGGTTTGCATTACCTCAAACATGTAAATGGATCACAGTTTCATGAAAAAGTATGTTGATATATGTCATGGCATAATCTCTGAAACGTGTAAGAATAATTTGGAAACAAACTGAGAAAATTAAGTAAAAGTGGAGTCCACCACAGTGGAGTCACGACTTTCTCCATTGGCATCACAAAACACTAGAACTTGATAGTAGGAAGTAAAAAAAAAAATGGTTTCCACCATTTTAGCAGCAATGACGTGACAGTCTTGATCATTTTCAAACATGTGTAGATGTTGCTGCAGTGATTTGATGAACACTTCTGCTGGTCAAGTAAACTGATCAATTAGTTAGTCAATCAGCCAATCATCATCTGGGAATACCAACAGGCTCTTTTACCAATAATCGAGGGGGGAGGAGCAACCAATACCAAATCATTATCAATCATGACTCTCAAATATGCCAGTTATTTTCTACAGAATCAAGGTGGTGCGGAGGAAACTGTAGCACTGCGGAGCAAAGCAAGACAACATTTTTTATCTTTTTGAAGATTACACAAGGTGAAGAAAAACATGTTCGCATCATAAGTCTAGAAAATGTCAGCAAGTTCTATAAGGCCGCGTTCAGACCAAACACAACCTGAAGCGACCTAGTCGCATTGGTCGCTGTATTCCCGTCGCAGCATCGCAGGACGCGGCTGGTCGCCGCTGACCCGCTTCTCCCACTGCAAAGACACACACACGTTGAAACATGTAGCCTAGCAAGCAGGGGAAGTTTGCTATGTTTTCAGAAAATAGTCTGCTCACTGAAATAAATAAACAAACAAACTTACCAGAAAGTCCAACATCATGGGCCACCTTCGCCCATGCCTCCTTCTTGGAGGTGCGGTCCCGGTAGAACGCGAACCCCATGTCATACAGGACCGGGTGATAACTCACGGCAGTGATAAGCTGCTCCTCCATTGTGATTCCTCTTCTCCTCCTCCTTGCTTCGCCGGTTTGTTGACGTCAGCAGAGCCCTAATTGGCTGTCGCGGCACGGCGTCATGGAAAGTTGCTCCCAAAGTTCAAACATTTGAAAATTTGAATATTTGAAAGTTCAAATATTTGAACTTTGGGAACGACGCAACTTGGCATCCTGCGACCTCGGGCGACGCAACCTTGGCAACCTTGGTCGCTCACGTCGCCGGCAGCCGGCGGTGGCCAAGTCGCGTCAGGCTGTACATAGACTTTGCATTGGGAGTCGTTGCTCAGGTCGCCGAGGTCGCTTTTGGTCTGAACGCGGCTTAAGAGTACAAAGCAGGGCAGCAACTTTCATTGTTCAAATATATCATAATAAATAGGAAGCTGTGGACACTGTTGGCCCAGAAAGTTGTAAAATTACATCTGTTGGAGTTCTAAACCTACCAACATATCCAAACACTTTTTAGCTATTGTTAAGATTTCTTTTTTTCACGTGAGAAGGTGCAGGGATAAATACTTTCAGAAGGTCGACACAGGCTGCACCGACCCTCCAAAGAAACCCTTTCTGCAGAGAAATATTCATGATTCATGATTCGCTGGTGTTCAGCTGATTTTTTACCTTGGATAGCTGCAGGCTGAAAGGTGGGATCTTGACCCTCCCCAGCCTCCTGAGGATCTCCAGGGTGAGCGCGGCGGTGCTGCTGGTGAGGAGCTGGATGAGCGTCAGGAAGGTGAAGTGAAAATTGCTGATGAGAAACTTCAGCAGGATGTTCAGAGAGCCGGAAAAAACTCCGTGCGCCACAGCCACCGAAATCCCCAACAGTCTGCTTTTACAAACATCCATGCTGCTGGTTAGAAAGTCACACGGGAGATTAAAAAAAAAAAGTGTCAGTGGCCCAATTTGGAGAGGTTCAGTCACGGGGATCAGGGGGACGGTTTGGTTTTACGCACGGCTTCCACGCTGTGCGTAAAACGTGGCAGCACAGCTTCCACGCAGTGCTGCTTGAGGAAGACAAGGCAGGAGATGAGGGACGTGAGGCTGGAAGAAGCCTCGATTGACCCGCTGAGAGGAGAAATCACTCTGCTTTCAGAAGCATAAAAAAAGAGATAAAAGTCAGGTTCAAAGGTGGAAAAAGTGGTGATGATACAAGGAGGAGAGTCTCGGTTCTGCTGTCTTTCCTCTTCGTCGTTTTCCGGCCAAAATAGCTCTTCAACCCGGCTTTTTTATCAACTGCACACAGTGAAAACATGAAAAACCTCACACATATTTCAGTCTCAGTTCTTACTCACTTAACAGACTCTAGCAGAACTCTTCATGCATGACTTTTTCTTTGCGCATCCTTCTTCCAAACTGGGGAAAAAAAACCTCCGGGAACTTTTAGAAAAAAACGAGATAGAAAGAAAAAAACATGAAGAAGAGAGGGTGTCCAAGAATAGGAGCAGCAGCAGAGTACAGTAGGAGCTCCGCAGATGTACAGGAGCTGTACAGTAGAGAGGAGGTCGTCCTCTGAGAGCGCTGCGAGTAAAATATGACATTTTGCCGCAGCGCCTCTTGGCTCTGTACCCGAGAGAGAGAGAGAGAGAGAGAGAGAGAGAGAGAGAGAGAGAGAGAGAGAGAGAGAGAGAGAGGAGTTTTCCAACACGCTCAGTCAGTCTACAGCCAATGAGCCGCACGCTCCTATCAGACGATCCAAATATTTGCTCCTTTTTTCTTCTTTTTTTTTTGGACAGAGTAACTGTTAACCTAAAAGCACAACACATACTTTACATTGGGATCTTATTATGGAAACATGATATAACAAATGTGTACTCCGAAAGGGAGGAACACATGAAAAAGTGACTTCTGGATTTCCCACAGTTAAAGACTGTGACTAAAAGTGTCCTCTGAATGTCTCTCTAGTTGGTAAAATTCAACAACCGAACTCTCTGGATGCCTGTCTGGTAAATAGTTTCTAACAAAAATGTCCTGTGGAGGCTTTTTAGAACATAACACATAACACGAAACTGCCTTGTAAATGTCCTACAGAGGATAAAATATAATAATTGTGCCCTTTGGGTGTCATTCCTGTTCATAAAATGTAACTAAAAAGCCTTCTTGAAGCTGTTCACACTTCTGTGTTTGAGCAGAGGTGGATTATATGTAATATTTAATTTATATGTACAGAAATTAAGTATCATTTATAGGTGAAATACTGTTGTGACCTTTTTTGAATATTATAAATATGTAAAGATAAAATATCACTATAGGAACTGTTGATAAAAGCGGTAGGATTAAATAAGTTTAAACCTCTTCTTACTCCTTTTTGAACATGAGCTACACATGCAGGTTGTTGCCAGCAATCTTTGTTTTTCTTTTATTTATGGTATGTATGTGTTTGTGTATGGTTACTACCTATATTCTGCTTTCTTTATTGCATGTTTGAAATAAAGCATTCATTCATTTATTCAATAAAAGGTCATAAAAGTGACGTCTGGATGGTCTTCACTGGATTAAATACAAGAAAAATGACCTCAGGGTCTTTCCAAGTTCATACAATAAAACAAAAGCACCCTATGGATGCCCTTCCATGGCAATTTACCGAGTTCAAATGTCCAGAGTGTATTTTATTATGATGATGATTATTAAAGTGTTAAATCTGAGTGTTTAAAATGACCACAGATCCCTAAATGTTTTAAACTGCTGCTTAATGAAGAAATCAGTGTTCATCACCAAAAGGAGAGCTCCGGTTCTTACATCAGGAGAAACACATTTTTGTTTTTGTTTTTTTAAGCAGCATCTTGTTTCTGTCTTCACCTCCCTGAACCCCTCCTTTCCTCCTCCTCCTACAGTTCAAATCTGCTTTATTAGCATGACAGTGACTGTTTATTTTTGCAGAGAGCTTAGCAGGATTGAAATGGATCAGAAAATTAACAAACAGGAGACTAGATGATGAGTAGACTCTGCAAAAACACATTAGAACATTGGGTAGAAGTAAGACCTGTGCAAATCCGACTCTGATTGGAAAATATTTGGGTTACTCATCCTCTTAATTTGAGTCTAAAAATGTTGGATATATATTTGGTTTCCTGTGGAGCTTGAACGACAGAAAGTTTGCTCCATAAATGACTGACATAAACAGAAAGTTTCTGCTCATTACTGTCTGTTAATCACCTATTTTGGGTGTTATTAAATCAGGAAATTGGAGAGAAGAGTTCCTCTGTTTCCTATCCTTGTATCCTTGTATCCTGGTGCTGCAGCTTTAAGCTCCCCCTCCTCACTGGGAATAATCCTGTAAATGTGAAATGCTATAATTGATGAAAACACCTGCAGCTTGCTCCCCCGTAGGTGTTTGGACGTTTGCCATCATGTTGCAGAGCGTGACATCTACTCTCTTCATGTTTCTGTGAGCCCCTCCATCTTCCTCCTCCTCCTCTTCCTCCTCCTCCTTATCACAAACAGAGACATCATCACCATCACTCATAACAGGCGTGGAAATGGCTTGGACAATATTTTAATTGAAATATTTCATCAGAAAATCAGTTTCCAGGCCACGAGGGAGGAAGATCCACCCTTATCGAGCTCAGGCCATTAGCTTCCAATTAAAAGGCGCAGACAGAGGGGACGCTTTCAGAAACGTGAGGGGATTAAGACCGGGCCGAGGATTTAGACCCCGACTCTTCTCTGCTGGGAGGAAAATATGTATCCATTATTCCAGAAAGTGTAGGTAATATAGATTAGGCTGAGTAATTTCACTTAAAACACAGACTGGAGCAGGCCTGCAGCCATTTTAATAAGGATTTTCAAATTAATAAGCAGCATGTAATTAGGCAGAAGAAATAAGAATATAAGGAAAATGCAGCCTGTCAGCAAATTTCTTCATGAAAATAACAGAGTAATGTTACATTTTTGTGGTGGTTTATGTTCATGCAGACACAGTTGGATGTGTTTGGGTCTGTTTCTTTATCATCCTGTCAAAGTTTGCTCACTGATTTATATTTTATCAGTTTGTCTGTCAATACATTAAGAAAGGAAAATGAGGAATAAGACAAAGCGAGAGGAGAGCAGGGAGAGGAGCAGGAGGAGGAGAGAAGAGAGAGATGAGCAGGGAGAGGAGCGAGAGGAGGGGAGAGGAGAGCAGGGAGAGGAGCAGGGAAAGGAGCAAGAGAGAGGAGAAGAGAGAGGAGAGCGATGAGCAGGGAGAGGAGGAGGAGAGCGAATAGAGGAGAGTGATGAGCAGGGAGAGGAGCAAGAGGAGGAGAGAGAAGAGAGTGATGAGCAGGGAGAGAAGCAGGAGGAGAAGAGAAGAGAGAGATGAGCAGGTAGAGAAGCACGAGGAGAGCAGGGAGAGGAGCAAGAGGAGGGGAGAGGAGAGCAGGGAGAGGAGCAGGAGGAGGAGAGAGAAGAGAGTGATGAGCAGGGAGAGAAGCAGGAGGAGAAGAGAGGAGAGTGATGAGCAGGGAGAGGAGCAGGAGGAGAAGAGAAAAGAGAGTGATGAGCAGGGAGAGGAGCAGGAGGAGAAGAGAAAAGAGAGATGAGCAGGGAGAGAAGCACAAGGAGAGCAGGGAGAGGAGCAGGGGGAAGAGAGAGGAGAACAGGGAGAGGAGCAAGAGGAGGAGAGAGGAGAAGAGAGGAGCAGGAGAAGAAGAGAAGAGAGAGATGAGCAGGGAGAGGAGCAAGAGGAGAGCAGGGAGAGGAGCAGGAGAGAGGAGAAGAGAGAGGAGAGCGATGAGCAGGGAGAGAAGCAGGAGGAGAAGAGAAGAGAGAGATGAGCAGGGAGAGGAGCACAAGGAGAGCAGGAGGAAGAGAGAGGAGAGCAGGGAGAGGAGCAAGAGGGTGAGAGAAGAGAGAGATGAGCAGGAGGGGGATAGAGGAGAGCAGGGAGAGGAGCAGAAGTAGGCAAGTTTGTGAGTGTCTGAAAAGCCAAGGGACAGAGCAAAAACGAAAACAGGTTGGAGCGATCACTTGCATGCACGATTGTATAAGCAAGACTGCCAGGTTTAACTGCTAGTGTCCACATTAAAGTGTAACATAGGGCTTAGTCTTTATGTAATAAAAGTGAAAGCTTGAAAAGGATATGCTGGATCTGCAGCCTCTGATAAAATGTAGTCCACTTTCTTCAGTTTGTTATAACACTGTCAAAACAGCATGATACAAGAAAAGGTCAAAGAACGAAATTTTTTTTTCTGCCACAGTGTCAACCGGCAGAAGTAAAATTTACTAAACTCTTTTCTCTTAATTGATTTCGTTCACACTTTGGGGGTGTGTGTCTCCTCATGGTTTGATGGAATCAAGGAAAGAAAGTGTATCAAGGAGAAACAAGAGTAAAAAAGGACAAAAGGAACAAAAACAGAAGAGGCCCGGCTACAGAGGACAGTGAAGAAAGAGGAGAGAATACTAAAAACAAGAAACAAGAGCTGGAGGAGATAAGGAGGGAGGAGAGAGGAGGGAGAGAGCAGGAGATAAGGGAAGGAAAGAGGAGGAAGAGAAGTGTCCTCTTTTTTTTTCTTAGTGGGTTTCCCTGCAGATGTTTGGCTGCAGGACAGAGAGGAACTATTCACGCATAATCACCAAGAGAGCTCTGATTGGCTGTTTCCATGATAGGTGTCGTGTCATCATCATCATCATCATCATCATCATCTTCATCAGTGATAAACAGTTTCATGTCGGACCTGAAACAGTCCAGAGGATCCTCACTGCGCAACTGGACTCTGGTTAGGGATGAACAACATAATGAGTACCTGAGTTTGAGAGTTTTAATCCCACGGTTGTTTTCACAGCTTCTTTCTCCTATTATGTGAAATGTCTCGGTATCAGCGTGAGTGATTGTGATTCTGAAAAGGCTGACCTACGATTATTTCCCATAACAGCTCTCTGTGGATATCATCCTCTTTATGTGATGTCTGCCCCTCATTCACTGCAGCTCACACACGTATCGGCAGGAGCAGCAGCATCTCCACTGATGACATTTCAGGATGAAATTAGTCACACTTGGCATTTTTTTCTCCCCCCACTTTAATAGAAGCTCACTGAGATAAAGGAGCAGCACATAATGACACGGGTATTATGGATCATATCCGCCTCTTCATTTACATAATTCATTTAAGTTATGTTTACACAACTTGTTCATTAAACGTAAATGATGCTTGGAAATGTTGATCTATGAATTTCTGGGGGGAAAAAAAACCCGATCAGACTCAAAATTTTCTTTATTTTCTGTTCAAACTCTTATTTAGATTCTCAATGTAAGATTTTAAACATTTTAAAAGGTTTCAGTTTGAAAGTTTTGTTTAAAAAGGTGTTTTTTAAAGTCTGCTGCTTAAGTGTGTGTGTAACCTTGCGTGTTTGTATTTGTGTATAGTGGAGACTCTTACACTGTTGCACCATTTGGGGACACGCACAATAAACACCTTTTTTTGGGATGTTTTGTCATAAAGTTTGGTGTTTTACAAAGATGTTCCAAGACCAGAATGAAAGCATTGGGTTTTGTGAGGGTTTTAGCTGTTTTCTTTTGTAAAGACTTTCATTGTTTTTAACCAAGTCAACACTGAGCTGTTTTTCTGCCACTGTGAAGCTCCATCTTGAACCATCTGTTTTCACTTTCCTGCTTGCTGTTTCCCTTTTTATAAGGAGATGCTCAAGTTCTTTGAGAAGATGTCTATCCGTAAAAAAATGTTAAGAAGTTAGCTGGGGTACCATCAAGACCCACTTACATATTTTCCTCATGCTCAAATAACTGAATGAGTTTTATTTTTCTTTTAGTAGAGCCTTTTTTTTTATTAATTGTTATAATGTCAGCTGCTAAAAGGACATATCTTCATGTCCTCCATTCAATCCAAGCACCAAGTTACATAAAATCACAGTTGTATATTTATTACATCATGTCAAACTTCTGCTCTTATCCTTTGAACATTTTGTGAACAATTTCATACAGGTACACTTTATTAAAGTCACAGTTTTATCACACCGCATAAAGCTCTCACTGTTTATTTTGTCTTAGGAGGCTTGAAAGACTGTTTAACAAAGACAAATATAAAGTATAAGTCGTGACGTGTTGTAAGTCGCTCTGCTTTGATATATGACTGAGTCACGTCTTCTGTTGTTTGTTCAGTTAATGAATAGTTTGGATGAAATCAGAAATTCAAAGCAAATGTCAGTGAAGCGGTAGGACTCAGAGAAATAAATTTGAATTTTAAAACAAACTGTTGAGTTGGTGTTAGCCTCCAGCTAACACATAGAGATCATGAAAATGTCCTCAGAAGTATAGCAGTACTTGTTAGTATGTTGGTCATGCTGTGTTGTGAGCTCCAGCAGATAGGCAGGCAGGTGTGTAGATCTTCACGGTCTCGTCCCAGGCACAGTCCACCACCTGCAGACCACAAAACACAACAAAACACACTCTGTTAGAGACAGTAACGTAAGGGAGCGTGGAGGTCTTAGGAAGTCTTACAGACACACACAGACCACCATTGACCACCAAATTACTCTGTCAAATGGGCGGGTGGTTAATACAAATGGTTCCTTACTAAAGGCCAGCCTCTGGTGGGTCAACTGAAGGTTTGGTTGAGTCGGTATTTTGTGCTGACCTTTACAGGTAGACTTCAAAACAACACTTCAGAACCAAATGGGTGACGTACCAAAGAGCAGGTCCATGTTCTACACAGTCTGGTACTCATAGATCTTAGATAAGTAGTCGACCAGCGGCGTCTGTCCCTCCTCGTAGATATAATATAATATAATATTTGGGGCTACCACCATAGACTACTTCCCAGATGTAGACATTCAAACCTCCCTGAGGCATTTCAAAATAAGAGTGAGGTCTGGATTCCCTGTTTAATGAGTGTCCTAATTTTTGCACAATGCTTTTATTCTGAAGGTGCATCCTGGAGAGATTTCGAGCTAATAAAATAAACTGCAAAGCTCTTTCTTCAGCTCACAGCTAAACTATCTTTCAATCTCAGCTTTTCCCTTTTGTTCAGCAATCTAGAAACAAATGTACTTGTAAAAGGATTAGAGCAGTAGAGGACTGAGCAGAAAAGTGATACTGTGCAATGGGATTGATTATAACGTACTACACAAAGCACATTACTGTGAATCAAGATGTTTTGTGATTATGTCAACAGAAAGTCCTCAATTTGATCCATCTGGTCTAAAATCTTCTAATCAGAGATCTTTATCCTCCAGGTTCTGGACCATTGCAGTCAATAGAACCATTCAGGGTCCTTCACAATCCAATAGACTGTTTGTTTCAGCTGAGCAGACACTCAGTTCCTCTGAGTGTTTTTCTTTTAAAGTGCAATAACACTTAAGCCTGTTGCTGAAATAACCCGAATAACTCCTCTGAGTTCTTCCTCTCTCTGCTCGGTGAAATGTGGAAGCTCAGCTTCAGGACAGAGAGCTGAGAGACAGACATGCAGCTCTCACATCAAAGTGTTCCAGCCTAACTGCCCTCCATTATCAGGTCTGGGACAAAGACATTTAGAGAGACAGCTGACCGGCCGCTGGTCTCAGCTGCTCTGACTGAAATCTGTTTTCTCTCCTCCTCTTTCCTCCTGTTTTACTGCCACCGTCTCCTTTTTGAGCCTGGAAAAAGAAACACACATGCATAGATGGCTTATATCCCTCATTAAGTGTAATCTTATATTTAGCTTTCATCATCCAGCATAGAGGAGGGCCTCACATCTCAAATCAAAGAGATGCAGATTGACTGAAACCTTTAATCATGTTTTCCTTGAGGTTTAAAAAACAGAAAAGATAAACTGACTCATACCACTTAATATTTTTATATACTCTGTTTTTGCAGCTCAATGCACTTTGGTTCTTCAGTTCAGGGGTCCAGATATCCTCTGCACTCCCAACTATTTTCCAGTTGGTAATCGTGAGCTGAGAACTTTTAGTCTATATGGTCCTGAAGCTTTGCTCTGAACAGTGCTGTATTTTTCCTGTAATTGCTGAGTGTAATGGCTGCCCACAAGCCTCTCCGGGCTTACGGAGAGGGCAGCCATGGAGGTTTTGGGGCAGGTTATCTCCATTTCGACACCTGAGAATGTCCACAGTCAAGCTGCTGTGAAGAACGAATTTTTGGGAAAGGCCAACTAGTTTTCTATAGAAAGCAATTTTAATGAAGATAATAATCAAAGGGACGAATTAAGCCAATGTTTAAGAATCTTCTTAATGTTTTCAGTGACGTAAGTGGAAATTTCAGTTCAATTAAATAAAAAAAATACCACATTTAAACGAAGCACCCAAATATGATTGACTATTTTCTTGATTGTTGTTCTTGCTGACTGCCTCTCATTGTTTTGCATGGCAGACTTAAGTGAAGGGCATCGATGAGGAAACAGCTGAGCTTTAAGGTAAACAACAATGATGGCTTGAAACTAGTGGAAACCATTTTTTCCTTGACAGTTTCTAAAAAGCCAAAAAGATCTTCTCTGTTGGATAGAAACACGTTTAGTTTATCTCCTGAAGCTGCCGGGCTCACAGAGCGAGTGGATTTTACTAATGTTAACTTCCTCATGTCCAATGGTTAGGCTATGAGAATGAGAATGATGAGAGAGCTGGTTGACTCCCTGTGATATACATGTTGATATCACATCTGTATTCAATGTATTTCTGATGGCAAAGAGCTGAATTTTTTTGGGTACAGCGTACACTTAAACCTCACTTCAAAAATACTGGAATGTCCCTTTAAATAGGAGAAAAACACAGGCTATTATCATTGGTTTACCCTCCAGCTTTTTTTAGGTGAAGCTAGCCAATGCCGTCGACGGTTCTTTGGACTTCCCTTTCTGTTCACTGTTATCGACGGTTTTTCAGCAGCCTGAGTTTTGTTTCCTCTCATGCGGCTCTTTTGGAATATGTAACACCTAATAGATGAAGACGAAATCAGGACACAAATATAAGGAGTATAAATAAACAGTGACACATTTTTAAGAGCCTCTGTCCCTGAGATGGATTATATTAATTGCAGCTCACACTGATACCTCAGTAGATGTCATTTTACAGGTTTTTAGGATCTCCACACCCAAACTAAGAGGGTGGAACTGGATCACAGTCAGGAGCAGGACTAATTAATTCACAATCTATCGTATCCATCCAGCAAGCAGCAGCTTTCCTCTGTTTCAGAGCTGAACACCTGTGACGGCATGGAGAACAAAGTGGCGTTTTGTTGGTCGTGCTGAAAGTGAAGTGGAACGAGTGTTTTTACTCGGAGCTCATCAGCTGCTGTGTTCTGCAGCCAGGAGAGATGACAGAGAGGTAGAGTGTAATTCAGCTGATAGTCACCTCTCAATAGAGGCATGTCATTCAGATGATAGCCATGTCCCACTTGATTACACACTTCAGAGAGGAAGGCGTGGACACGGCTGTACTTCCTGCTCTGTATCAGAACATGTCACGTGTTTGAGCTTCACCTGCTGAGGAAATCCTTTATTTAGAGACTCCTTTTTCTCTCTTTCTCTCTCTTAGAGTAAGCTCTGAGGTGTGGAAAAACAGCTGCAGGTGTTATCCACATCTTTGGGGTGTTTCTTGGCAAAGCTGCAAACCACCGCTGAGCATTTCGATTTGGCCTGTATCAGAGAAGACCTGCAGTATATTACAGCATGAATGTTTAGTCCTGTTTAGCTTTTCATCTCTTAAAAATAAGCAACGAAACAGCAGTAATGTCATCTATTGCTAGTGTAAATTTTTTTTTAAGATTTACAGAAGATATTTACCTCTATCGTGGATGGAAATCAAAAAAACTGGTTCCAACCAAAGAAGTAATTGTGACGGACAGTTAACAATATCAGCTCTGGGTGGGTGGTTGGGTTGAGTGATGTTAAGGGTTTGTACAGTCTTGCCCTGTTTCCCGCACTGTATTGTATTGTGTAGTTTGTGTCTTGAGTGTTATGTGTTTTGTATGTTAAAAACTAAAAAACCAATAAAAACATATATAAACATAATAATATCAGCTCTAAAACCAGAGCGATATGATGTACCGACTTACTGTAAAATCTACTCGCTTTGTGAGACCAGCAACTTTCCGACAATAAACTCTGTGTTTTTCTGCAACATCCAGAAACTTTCCAATCCCAAAGAAAAGATCTGTTTATTTTCAGACTTTATCCAACCCCTTAAAAATGAAGATAAAAAAAAAATAATAATAATAATAGTAATAAATTTCTCATAATCACTCTACTGTTCGACAGGGGGCTACCATCTTTGTTTTGGTCTGTATTTATGATTAGACGACCTGTAAATGTCCAGTCAAAAGCCAGCTTTCTTCATCTCAGCAGTGCAGTAAAGGAAAAAAGTATAAGTAAATAAAATCTGAGTTGATGAGGCAGAAAACGTGTATAAATAAGCTGTACATTTCCAAACAGAGAATCCACTAGAATGGACCAGGGAAGTGATAGAGAATCGGATCCGTAAGCAGAATCAATAACAGCATTACTTTTAATGACATCTGATCAATAATCGCCCCAGGCCAGACAGCTGTCAGCTTCATTTTCCAGTGTCACCTAGGTACTCAATCTAGGACTCTTTTAGACTGATCACAGATTATCTTTGTGTTTCAGATTTGGACAGATATGAAATTATACTGATTGTCTCTGTGGGACTGAAAAGTTCCTGGAAGTCACAGTAATGTAAAGTTTAAAGATAGAGAGCTGCCTGCCTCACAAAGTGAGTGGATTTCAGGTTGGTATGTTGTACCATTTTATTTGAAAAAATTGGTATTGTTCACACAACGATTTATTAATCATGTAACAGTGTTTTGGACAGATGCTGTCTTATGTTGACTTCCTCAGTCATCATTTGAGCCGACTGTCTCTTGTGATACAGACAGAACTAAGTGGAAGGCAACAATACAGGACTCTTACGCATAAGAGCAAACAATCATGACAGTTCAAACCAGCTTAAATCCAGATTTTGGTTCTCATCTCCAGTTTGGTCCCACACACACAGTTAAAACAAGTTAAAACTATATGACTGAACCTGTTGCTTTGCCACCAATCTCGACACACGTGCCTGTTTCCTGCACTGAATTGTGCTTGTAAGAAGATCCAGATGAATGGGCTGATAATGGTCTATGTGGTCTTCTTTACATCATATGTTTGGTCCATACACAAACTCAGGATCCACCCTCCTTTACCAAAGTGTCCCCCTCCTCTGAATCATCGGGTTTCCCTCGTGTCTGCTTTATGCTCCTCTTTGAATCTTTGAATCAGTGAGTCAACAAGCTGAACGCACTTCCAGGACATGAGTAAGCAAAGCGGCCGAGCACAGTGAGTCAGCCATCCAGAAGAGGAATGCCCCTCTTTAATTAACTTTAACAGCCGGCCGTAATGGAAAGGCACACAGACGGGCCAAGACTGCAGCAAAACACAAAGACGACCAGCAAAGAGAGAAAGAGAGAGAGACAGAGAGAGAGAAAAAGACGAGTCATAAGGAGGAGAGGGATAGGAGAAAAAAAAAAGACTTAAAGACAAAGAAATATAAAAGCAATCCAAAGTTCAAAGTCTAATATTCTTTTTGATGACTTTTACTGAGAATAAAGAGAGAAAGATGAATGAAGACGCAATAATTAAAACAGTAATGAGCTTGTGGTAGATATGTATTACTAATGGGAAAGGCGCAAAACAGTCCAAGTCTACAGTGCACTTATTATCGCTGTTTGGTTGTTATGGCAATGCTGCTGTGAGTGACAGCACTGTGACACTTGAAGTGATGTTGGAGACTCATAAAACCGTCGGTGGACAGAACAGGAAGCTTGTACGATATTAAGAGACTCTCTAATGTCCATTAAAATTGTTTAACATAGTCATGATGTTATGACTTTGAAATAATAATAAAAAAAATACGATTTGTGTTTATTTTAGCTAAAACTTAGATCTCCTGTTGTTGGGTTTATTAATGACAACATAAAAATACACAAGCTACCAACACAGGACTGCTTTATTATACAAATACTTCAGTTAGTGTTAACAAAGCTGCCAGTATGAACACGTACGCTGATGATACTCTGATATATCTCATGAAACGTTTACTTTCTAACACAGTTTTTCCTCATCCAAAATGATTAAGGGATCAAGAAAATAGAGAGTCCTACTGGGGGTGGGAACCACTAGTGGCTCATTGCTACGATATTATCACAATACTTGGGCCACGATTCAATATTATTGCGATTTTAAACATGTTATGATTCAGTGAGTATTGCGATACCATATATTGCGATCTGTACAATTTTTTTAACTGCTTAACTAACCCTGCATTTGTCTCTCTCTTATGTTTGTTGTACTAACTTTCTCCTGCTCTATGGTGTCACCTCTGCCGACCTCACTGAACTAACAATTGATTTTATTTTTCCATTATCACAGACTTGAGTTCATATTAGCACTTAATTTGAAGAAATCAATACTTGGTGGATGAGACGATAGGATATATCACCAGACAAAATATTGCGGTACTATGCTGTATCTATTTTTTCTCCCTCCACTAATATCTACATATCCCGCCCTCACTCTTTAAACCCCTCCATAGTTGAAAGATGCTGTTGTGGGTTTGTACCATATCTTCTACTAAAGTTGTAGTCACACTTGACCTAAGACACCATCTGGTAACTCAGGCAACCACATGAAGGACGTTAGCTAAAATAACCTACAGACCTGTAAATGGTTGTCATCTGGCGTCTCTGTACGATCCATCAACTCTTACCTACGCTAACACACCACCCACCCACTAAAAAGAGGTCCACAGTGTAAGTGTGTGTGGTTTGGCCCGCAGTGTTGAAGGAGGGTGATCCATCAGACACACATGGTTACGTCGGGATAACAGCAGAGACCACACCAAGGAGGGAGTTTGTGTGAGAGAGAGATAAAAAAGGAAAAGAAAGAAAATTGTAATTGATCGTGGTGAGGAAGAGGCTAAGAGCAACTTAGTACTGATATCAGGAGGGCAAAATTAAAACAAGGAGGAGGCTGGGAAAGAGTCTAAAGTGGGTAAGGGAAGAAGTCCAGAAGGAGGGTAAAATCTGAGATAAGATTTCACCCTGAAGGAAAGTGAAGTTGAGAGGAAAACAAAAAACAGCAAGAAGAAGAAGAAGTGAGAAGTCTGATATCTCAGAGGGAGACGGATAAAGTCAAATCCTCCAGTTTTCAGCAGATTAAACTGCTGTCAGGATTATAGGACCAGGCGGTCATGTTTATGGAAATGATGTGTGAGTTCACTGTCGGTTCTTAAGACAAAATGCTAATGCAACATTTTACTTCTTCAAAATCTCAACTGCATGAAGGAGGGATGATTTCCAGACTAAAATCAAACAACCAGCAGTGTTTAAAGCAGCCAAGTCTGCTGTAGTGCATCCACCTGACACTAGCTGGACTTGACTTCACAGGTATCGATACAGATTAGATTCTGTCAGAGTTTTAAAGCTACACTCAGGGCTTTTCATTTAATAATACCTGAGTAATAAAAAGCAGGAAAATGCTGTCAGGAAAACTAAGTCAGCAGCAGAGAGGAAACAGAAAATCTGGAGACGGGGGGGAGATCTTGTGTGTGACGTCACAGTGTGTGTCCTCTCCTCGCTGTCACAGCTATTTGTGTTAGTGAGTGCTGCTCGGCTGTAATGACATGTCTGATAACAGCACACACTAACAATACAGCTCATTACTGCGCCGCCCCCTCCCACACACACATTCTCAAACAGCCACAGAGAGGACAATGCTGTTCATTACGGCATCTCTGTTAGACACACAAACAAGAACACGCCGCGAAAAACGGAGCAATCGGACCATTTACCCCCTCTGATTGGCCGACGAGGACACAGGCTGTGATGTTGAGGGTTTATCACGTACGCACTTTCATCCTGTTGCACATGGAATAGCTCTCACCCTGATTTTTTCCACAGAGGTGTTTATGGAGGTGAGATGGCTCCATAAAGGTACAGGTTGAGGAAATACAGGTGTGTCATTAAATTTCTCCTTAAAAACATGCGAAAAAGGCGTTTTCAGACCAAAAGCTCATCCCGTCTTATATTTGAGTCATTTAGGCCTGGGAAAATAACAAATTTTGCTGTACGATATATTGTCCCACAAATTATTGACGATAAACGATATTATTGTTGACATTATCTAGACCAAAATAACCACTTATGTAGTGATAATATATCATCAAAGTGCAAGTACACCCTTTTAAGTCCGACAAATAAACCTTTATTTCTCATTGAAACATCCAGAACTAGAGCTATTAAATATCCTAAATAAATAAAACATTCAAAAAAAACATGAAAATGCTCTTTTTAACCGTATTAAATGGCAGCATTTCTTTGGCAATGTAGCGAACTACACTTTCTGTGAGCGCAGACCATTTTGCGCTGTTCCGACTTTAGTTAACGTTGACTGTCGAGCCAACGGTTCTGCGTCTAGGGGTGCTGTTTTTTTTCCCCAGTTATAAAAACTCCAGCAGGTGATCGCGTTTGAGGTGGGCATGCCATTTTTTAACAAAGTCGGCATCCTGGCTCAACTGTGTTGATGGTCGCACCTTGCTCATTGGGCTTGAAGCTGAAATATTCCCACACTGGAGCTGTAGCACTTGGCTTTGCTCTTCGCTGCTCCTCATGCAGCTCACTGACTGCCGTCTACCCTGTGTGCGCTTGCCGCTCCGCGGCGCCTTCCCCGACAGATACAAAGATCCTGAATGACTGACGAAATTGTTCACTCCCTTCATTTCATTCCGCTAATAAGTGCCCAGGTGTTGAGACCGATGCACAGAGTGAACCCTCTTGTCATCTAGTTTGTTTGGAGGTGTAAGACGAGGACAACAAATACACGCATGCACATGGCGATATATCGAGGCCAGAAAAATTATTGAGTTCATTTTCATTTATCGTGCGGTTAATTGATTTATTGATTATCGTCCCAGGTCTAGGGTCATTCAAATTAACTGAATCTGATGCTGGAGTAAAAGGTGGGACTGTGGCAACTTTAAAAACAGTCAACAGTGACCTGCGCACACTTGATAGTTCAAAATATATGAACTATTTTATTCTTTTACATGACCAGATACAAATCCGTTATATTAAAGACTGGAGGAATTCAAAAGGCTATTTTTAAGCCGAGTTAAACTTTCCTTGAACCAATCAGAGGACAAGAGTTTCAGGCTAATTTGGTCACTAACACTGATAACGGGTTATGTGAGGTTCCTGTCTGAAGGAGCTGAAAAACTACATTAGACACATCAGACAGGAGTGGCCTTTTCATTTCTGAGCTTCTTCACCCCAACACATCCAACACACAGCCCCCCCTGACAGCCCACTGCCACTGTGTGTTTCTGAGTGTGTGGGTAAACACGAGCATACTGGTGTGAAGACAGGTTGATGGATGGGTCCATTTCAAGAACGAGAGCACGCAGTCAGAGAACCAGATGTGGACACAGAGATCAGTGTGAGTCCAGAGATTTGAGACTCAGACACTCCACAGAAAGATGAAGAGCTGGGAGAGAAACTGATGAAATGTCCCTTTAATCTGAAAATAAGCTTGTAAAGTACGAAAAGGTGAAATTGATACATGAATAATGTGCTGTGTACTTCCTCTGACCTGACACCTGTCATCCCAGGGCTCGACAGTGCGACTGTTTCACTCGCATTTGCGACTAAAAATAGATGTGTGCGAATTGTAAATGTATTTAAGGTCACATGTGCGCATAAAAAAAAATCAGCTGAGGCAACAAATGTTTTTTCATTTAAATACCGCGGTGAAGTTAGTTTTAGGTTGGACATTCGATGGACATTAACTGTGGATCTACTGGTGTCTTCTCACTCTCTGCAACAGCAGCGCGGTTGAATCTACTCGGCACCCTCACTGTCAACATCAGGTGTTGAATAAGGGACCATCAATAAATTACCGGTTGATGTTCTCAATAAAGGCTGTTTCCTTCAATAGCTTTCATGTCATGTGACCAATTGACTTAAAATTGATTTTAAATAATAGTACTTATGTCGACCAATAAGACACATATTATTTGATCAATTGCTCCCAAAGTTCTTCATGTGCTCCTTACTTTTTCCACTTAGGAGCACATGTGCTCTTTGTGAAAGTTAGTGTCTCCTCAATAATACAGCTTACATAGATTTCTCCTGATCCAGGATCCATCCAATGACCATTGAGATCTGGGTCCAAATTTCCCTGAGCACCAAATCTTCAGGACTCAGCTGTTTATCTTTTGTTATTGCACATTAATAATCAGACAGCAGAGTGTGTTTGTACATTATTATCAGGACACATGTATGAGTGTGTGCATAGTGTATGTGTGTCACCTTGTTAGGGACATGGAGGTTAAAGTCGAGTCCACAGACAAACTCTGAGTGATGCTCCACAGTGTCCAGAAGAGGCTGATTCAAGCTGAAGTCCCAAAACCTTCAAACACACATGGAAAACAACATCTTGAGCTTACAGCTGGAAAAAGATCACTTCATTGTTCATTTTTAAAAGGATTTGACCAGGACACCAGGGCTGTGAGATCAGCTGACATACCAGACTCACTTCTCCTGAAGTTTACTGTAATCTCACAGGTCAAAGGCTGAAGAAGGGCAGGCACAGGTACATCATGAATATGTGCAGAGCAATCAAGAGACAGATGGCCCACTGGTCTTAATCAGGTCATAGCTATTTAAAGGGATATTTTCAGCGTAAAATTAAATTAGGGTCAAACACGCCGTAACACCGAGTTAGACACCCCGTCGAGAGATGAATGTTGCCGACCGCTTGTGTCTTTAGTTACACCAACTTTAGTAATGACCACACGATAGCAACACAGAGAGCCATGCACTCAACCAAAAAGCCACTCTACTAATAGTACTCAGGACAGCACCTAACTTCATCAACAGTACATATAGGGTCCCAGCCAAAGTACTAGCCACCAAACATCTTTTTAGCTTTGTCTAATTTCTTTAGCAAAGAGACTAAACACAACTCACCTACTCTCTTCCAGCAGCCGCTTGTTTGTCGCTTGGAGACGCAGCTCAGGGAAGAACATTTATGATTATTACTTTATGAAAATGTAATCAGACAGCGATGCCAAGGCAGAAGAACTACCGCGTCTGCAGTCCAAAATGATTAATATGATGATAATTACTTCAAGGAAATGATAAAAAAATGATCATAAATGTTCTTCCTTGAGCTGCGTCACCCTGCTGCAGTCGATGGACTTGCCTGGAGGTCTCCGTACAAATAAGTGGCCGCTGGAAGAAAGTGGGTGAGTTGTGTTTAGTCTCTTTGCTAAAGAAATTAGACAAAGCTAAAAAGATGTTTGGTGGGTAGTACTGTGGCTGGGACCCTTTATGTACTGTTGATGAAGTTAGGTGCTGTTCTGAGCATTATTTGTTGCTGTAGAGTGGTGTTTTGGTTTTGGTTTTGGTCGTGTGGCTCTCTGTATTGCTATTGTGCAGCCATTACTAAAGTTGGTATAACTAGAGACGACAACATTCATCTCTCGACGGGGTGCATAACTCGGTGTTATAGTGTGTTTGACCCTAAACTAATTTTACGCTGAAATATCCCTTTAATAATGGGGCCCAAACCTACATCTATCCAGTACATTTGCTCTGTGGATGCAGCTGTAATCAAACAAACACACTGCTCAAGGTAATCACAAATCCATTAGAGATAGAGGTATTTGGTTTGACCAATCAGCTCCAACAGCAAGGCTTTAGTATGAGCTAAAAAACCTAACAGTTCAGATGTGTGTTTAAGTCTGACAGATGAATCACTCTGGAAATTCATGACATGTCCAGAGGAAGAATTCACCTAAGACTTCACCACATTTTGTAAACATAAATCAAGAATCACAAATAGAGGAGTTAAAAGAGGACTGTAGGAAGACAGAGACAGAAGAGACAAAAATGCAAAGAGGGAGAAAATAATTAATAAAGATGAAGCAAAATGAAAACGACAGCAATCTAGAGAATGAGATTAAGAAAAATGAGTAAAAGAAAAAGAGAGAGAGAGACAATAAAACACAGCCTCCTGACTTCAGCCAGCAACGGCCAATCAGACTAATTGAAAGACTGTTTCTCTTCCTGGTCCTGACAATGTGTGTGTGTGTGTGTATGTGTGTGTGTGTGTGTGTGTGTGTGTGTGTGTGTGTGTGTGTGTGTGTGTGTGTGTGTGTGTGTGTGTGTGTGCCAAACCCCTGACGCAGCAAACACTCCTTCCAGACTCATCCACTTTGCAAATGTAATTAAATCATTTTCAGAGGGAACACTGCAGCTCCCATTAGGCCTGTATTAATACACGCACACACACACACACACACACACACACACACACACACACACACACACACACATGTGGGCGCGCACATGAGGAGCGATGGGTGTCTGGGGAGAGTCATGCATTGAAAGTTATTATATATTGAGTGAGCTGTTAGTGTAAATCACTGCTAAGTCTCTTTATCGCTGTGTGTAATTGTACGTCTACACATGTGTATTTGTGTGTATTTGCTGTAAAATACTGCAGAACGGACCGCTTTACATCAGTCCTAATGAGCACTGTGAATTTGCACCTTGACTTTCACACTGATTGGAAACTTAATCTGTCTGAGAAGTAAAACAAAGTTTATCTGAGCGGGTTGATAGAGGAGTAAACATGTCGGCCATCAGCTTCAGGATGATTTAGAGAAGTTGGCCTTGAGCGCAGAGGCACTTTACTGTGATTAAAACTCTTTATTCCCCAGAGAGAAGTCAGATTAACGAGTGTGTGAGGAGAGAAGAAAAGTAACAGGACTGAGAGGCTAGATCTGTTATATGTATTTGATAAAAAAAGAATTCATACGCTGATACGATCCAAGTTGCAAATAAGTTGGGTTACTGTGAAAGATGTCAATTGAGCATATTTTGATGGTTTGTCTAGTATTAAAATTCTACATTTGCACAAAAAGGGTGCAAAGAAAAAACATCAAATGTTGAGATGTTGCTGAAAAAAACCATGTGTTTACTTTAAATTTGTTGTTGCTGGGGGGGATAAAACTTTTAAAAAGTTGTGTAACGCTAAGAAATAAAAAAAAAATAAAATAAAAAACCTGGAGGAACATCTCCAACTAATGAGGTTAATTTCCATCAAGTTAGTAACATGACTGGGTATAAAAGGGACATTCAGAGAGGCTGAGTCTCTCAGAAGGAAAGATGGGAAGAGGTTCACCACTCTGTGAGAGACTGTGTGAGCTCATAGTCGAAAGGCTACAAGTTAATGTTCCTGAGTGTCAAATATGAAAGAATGAGTGGATTTTATTATCAGTAGTACATAATATAATTAAAAGATTCGGAGAATGTGAAGAAATCTTTGTGCTGAAGGGACAAGAACCAAAACCAAGACCGGATAGTCCTGATCTTCAAGCCCTCGGGCAGCACTGCATTAAAAACAGACAGGACTCTGGAGTGGAAACCACTGGAAAAATCCACAAATGCAGTCCATTTAAGATGGATGGAAGTGAAAAAAAAAATGTCCTGTGGTCTGATGAATCAAAATGTGACTGTCACATTTTTTTTGTCACATGGACTCTTTTAGATCCTGTTTACAAAAATCATCTAAAAAGCTACAGACTTCTGGGAAAGTGGAAAATGCTGCCAAAATAAATTGACACTCTTTGTGGAAACCATCAACACTGTGTTCTTCCCTAACAAAGTTAGTGTAGTCTGGTTGAAAAAATGTAAAATATACACTTATTAACATGATTCAGTAATTTTGACATTTTCTTTAAGATGGACTGAAACGTAAAAAAATCCAAATTTGACATTCTTTTTGGAAATCATGGACACCTCGTTTTTCACACACACAGCCCATTATTTGCCTAGGAGGATTATATGCTGCCATCGAGACAATGAGTTTTTCAGGGAAGACCTTCATATTTCAGCAAGACAATGACAAACCACACTCTGCAGGAATTACAACAGCATGGCTCTGTAGTAGAATGAATGAATGAATGAATTATTTAATTTCGGTATATTATGACTGAAAGGGTTTAGGCAGAAGCAATGTTTATAAAGGCCTACCCCTTATACCATACATGGTGTACATTATACAGATACACTCTCTTTCTACAAATATCAACACTTCGATTCACTCTTCAAATCAGATAGAATAATGAACATGCTTTACACTTTACATGAATAATCATACATCATTTTCTCTACAATATTGAGAAAAAAACATTATTCTTGTAAAGTCTCTTAAAACTTACCAGAGTACAACATTTTTGTAATTTCTACCGGACAGTCGCTCCATTTACAGACTTTTACAGTCATGGCGCTAAACTGGTCTGCCTACAGTCCTGATATATATTTTCAGTTACAACATTAGTATGTTGCTTTCTCACTGTTTTCAGTCAAATATAGGCTTTAAATGATTTGCTCATTATCATATTCTGCGTTGTTTCCATTCTTAAGTCGGGGATTTAATAATCTCAGTGTGGTGTATGGAGTTTATCCGCTCACTCATTCACAAATGAAGCCATACAGTTTAAGTCTAACCCATTCATCACCCTCAGTGCAGAGTTATAAGTCTGCAGTGTAATGAAGTGCAGCTGCAGTAAAATAATCTTAACTGATACGAATGCATTTGTGTCACTGAGCTCTCGTTCAGTGCATTAAGAGGAAGGAGTGATAATCCTGCAGCTGAGAGCCACTGAAGCCTTGATTGGCTTCATAAAAAAGAGAAACAGGAATGATTTACTGTCAGCCGCAGTGAGCCTGATGTCTCACTCAATGAAATGCAGTGAAGGGGGAGACAGGGGGAGGAGGCAGAGTCTGTTATTTTTACCTATTACAGCGCTACAGATGTGTTTGTAAAGTACTCATATTTAATTTTAAGACTTTTTTCCTTTCAAACCTCTGCAGAGGATGAAGTCTGATCTCCATTATGACTAATTTATTCTACAAAAGGGATCCATGTGTGATCCAGATTATGGGTTTCGATGACGTTCATGTTGGAGTGTGTGTTCAGTGCCAGATGACTGTCCCAGTTTAGACAAATACACCATGTTATTTGTATAAATGAGGCCTGCGCTGCCTTTTGTCTGCAGTTTTCACGGTAGGTAATTATTTAGCTTCCATTGTATTTCATTCTGTGGAGAGGTCCATTCACCTGTCAGCTTTCTGTGTGTGTCTAACTATTACTGTGAAACTCATTAAGTCACAGCGGATGGAGAGAAAAGCAGAGGGAGGGCAGGAGGAGTGACAAACATTTACGATAGTGACGGAGAGAAGTGACAGAAACGTAGAGAAAGTGATTAGATCCTGCCCCCATTAAGGTCACTGATGCTTTTATTCCAAACAGGAAATTAATGTTAAGAGTCACACAAACACACACAGGGGCTACTGTGAAGCGTGGAAAACGTTATCTAGAGCAAACAGAGGACGTCTGACCTGCTGTTAGAAAGGGAAAACATGAGCTCAGTGTTTTGAGGGAGGAAAAGGAGCAACAAGTATCTACAAATGCCACAAGGCTTTAAATATTTACAGCAAGTTAATGTTTTGTTACAGTCGGACCATGTGTTTCAGGTGTGCCAACTCAACAGTCTTAAATTTGGGGTTTTAAGATTCAAATGGAACTCATTACAGTCAACGAAAACTTCAAAAGTCCAAAAGTTTTGTTAAAAGAGATAAAGTGAAAATAAGGCTTTCCAAAAACAGAATACACTGAACCTGTAATTTGTATACACATGAAACAATTGAGAATGACTGTCTTGAGTGAGTTGTCTCGAGCCTTTTTTCATTTCCTTTCTTGAGTATTTTGGGTGGATATTAAAGTGGTAGAAATGTTGTTTTAAAGGCTATTATTATTCACAAAAACAATTATGGTAACGTTTCACAATAACCATAATTTATAAATGGAAAATAGATAGTTTATTATTGTTGAATCATCATTTAAAATCAGCATATAGACCAATTATAAATGGCAAATAGATAGTTTATTAATGTAAGTTAATTGTTACTTTACCATTAGCAAGCAATGAAATTATGATTAATAATTTTCATTAATTATTAATGGACTATTTATTAAAGGTTTAAATATTGGTTGTAAAACATCTAGATTAAAATATGCGTCAGTAGCACTTTGTAAATGGTTAATATTTGGTTTTATAAACCACCTATAAACATTACTTAGATGGTTATTGTAAAATTAGGGTTATGGTTAGAGTTAGGTTTTTAAATTTGTAAAATTTACAATTTATTAATTGCCTATATGCTATGATGATTAAAAACGAATAAACTATCTGCTTACCATTTATAAATGGTCTATTTACCATTAATAAGTTATGGTTATTGTAAAGCGTTACCACAATTACATTTACAAAAATGGCTAAAACAAAATGAAGAGTAACACTTTATATGAACCCATCACTTTTAACAGATTAAAGACACATTTATAAAGCTTTCTTAAGGCATTTAAAAGGCTTAAGATCAACCTTCATATGAATTTATAAGCAGTCAAACAGCTTATAGACAAGTTTATGAAGTGAACAAATCCGTGAATGTGACATCTTATAAAGAAAAGGCTTATAATATATTAAATAACTTTTGAACTCTGAGATTCAAGTTCAGAAAAAAAAATGATTTCTGACTTTTATCTGAGAATTCAACGATCATAGTTGGAATTCAAAAACCTTTTTTACACTGAAAGAATATCACAGAAGGCATATTTGCAGTTTGTTTCCAGACATGACACCACTGTTGGCAAATATCATTGTTTTCAGTGTTTCACTGCACAGCAAACAGACCCAGATACATAAAAAGTCTTTAAAAATTAAACAATTTTTTTTTTTTAGAAAATTCTTGTTATGTATGTTTTTTATTAGCATAAACTGTGAGTCAGTGTTGTTATTTCTGGATTCTGATTTCTGGTGCTCAGGAGTTCATTTATGTCGCAGTGGTACCAAAAAATAATCCTATAATAAACCCTGTAAAAAATAGCAAGCCTGAAGAGGAACATCGAGCTGACTGCGTTTAGGAAACCAACAAATATCTCTTTCTCAGCAAAATAACAAGCCTCTCTTTCACAGCTCAGTTCATTCAGAGTTTACTACCAATACTATCAGAATTTCAATTTGGGTCAATCAGTTCCACACAAAGTGAGCTCTCTTTCCAGCGGCTCTCTGGTTAAAACAATGAAACCTACATAACGCTTTAGTCCACTCTGAGATTCTGACCAAATGAACAAAAAGCCAGACTGAGGAGGCTGTGAGAGGAATTGAGGTTAGTTAAAGGATAAATAGATCCCAGTCCGGCTGTGGTTGGATGTATTTGCATATTAGTGTATGTGCGCTCCTGCTTTGTTCTTAGTGTTTGCACATTACAACCAGAGTCTGAACACACAGGAAGGCCTACAGAAGCAGGTGTGTGTGAGAGAGCAGGTGGAGGGTAAACAGAGGAAGGTGTAACAAGCTGATTACACCAACAGGTAGATGAGTGGGCCCTGTGATACAAAACGTACACCTGTGCATCAGATTATCAGGTGGGCTGACGTTTTGAACAGGTTTAGTTTGATGTTTTAGATGTGATTCATGAGTGGTTCTGTTATTAATTCCTCTGGCTGAGAATTCAACAGAACCAAAAGACAAGTGGGCTAGCTTGGTTTTATCCATGCAGGTGTTGGCTCAAACTTGTAATCTAGTAAAGCTCATAGCTTTTGTCTATCTAACAATCAGTGCGTTTACATGCACAGCTTTATTGGACTAAGTTCATGATTTTTTTTTTTTTTTTCTCACTAAATTGGACTTCTCTCCTTGTCCGCGTATACATGCAGCTGAGAAAATTGAATTATTGACCTGAACGTGTCCTCCTCCCCCAAACTAGGGGGCGATCTGGGTCTTTTTAACCACAACAGCAGGTCTGTACCAGAGGTCAGGAGTGGCTACAGCTGCTGCTAGGCATTTTCATGCAAGAAGATGGAGCATCATACAGCGTTGTTTTTGTCGTACATGATGTACGCGCTACTTTTTCTGCAGGTGAGGTGCATGCTACTCCTCAAGCTCATGGTGTTTTTGTTCTGGAGTTAAGGAGGTGTGGCGCATGCACACATGCATTGTCCAATCATACTGCGACTACGCTGGTTACATGGTAGAGAAAATTGAATTCCAATCGCATTATCTGGGTGTCTGAATCTGAGTTCTCCGGTTCCAATCGGAGTTTTCAAACTCTGATTATAGTCAGACTAAGGTGTTTATATGTACTTCAGTTGTCTGGTCTTAATTGGAGTGAGGCAATAATTCAGTTTTCTTGAGTGTCATTTAAACGACTGACTGATGAACAATACTATACCAGTAACAACTTGAGGTGCCGATAAGATTTTATTTTCCTGTAGTGCTTTAAAATACCTCCTCCTGCACGATTCTCTCTTTTGGTGTCCCTCAAAGGTCTATTATAGGTCCCGTCTTCTTCACGGTTTACATGCTACACTTCCTCTGGGCCAAATCCTGCATATTTGTGGTATAGACTTTCATTGCTAAGCAGATGATACTCACCTGTAAGACCCGCTGAATCCCAATACCCACTTTGTGTCTCGTGTTATGTCCCATCTGACTGAAACATAAACCGCATGTGTAAAAAAACTGAAAATCTGACGTCAGTGTCATTACTCCCTGTCTTGCTGTGGAGCAAACCACCTGAGGGGTGTTTCATTGATAAATCAAACGGGTTTTGGTCAGTAGAAAGGCCGGGACATTGACACAAGATGGTGACAATATTTTGCCTTTTCTTTCACTGAACAAAGAGGAGGATGCAGACAAAGAGGATTGATGCTAATGATGTAAAGAGTCTCCTGTTAATGAGGTAACATGAGCTCATGCAGTCTGTCATGATCAATGCTTAGAGGCTTTACACATTAGTGACCACACACACACACACATCCAAACACACACACTGGCTGGAGAATAGGTGATAATGAGTCTGGTATCATACGTGTTTGGACTGCTTTTAAGGGAAACCGAACTACGTGATGTTGCTATGGAAGAAAGCACACAAACATACGTGAATATGTGCACGGAGGGAGAAATCTGCAGCTCCGGCTCTGTCCCATTTACAGAGTTTTAATGAGATGGGTGAAGTAAACCCGCTAAAACTGTGTTATCACTGCAGTAATGAATGGATTAAGGATTATCTCACAGCACGGACAGTGGGCGGGTTAATAAAGGAGAAGAAAGAGTGTGAGATTAAATTAAAGATAGAGCCACTTTTCAGCGCTTGAACAATGTTTGAAAAAGTTCCTCTGCACGACACGACGTGGGGACTTTCTGATGAAAGCTGCTGAGGATGAATCAATGACATGAATCTTGATTTATGTTAAGCAGCTCTGTGATTATGTTCTGCGTAGGATTATACAACCCCTAATTCAAACTATTTCAACATCCAGAACAACAGATTTTCTTTGTACAATTTCAGTTTACTGTTTAGTCCCTACCAGCTCCTGACAAATAGGTCTTGATGCTGGTCCTGGTTTGTATAGATTTTGTATAGATACCTCTTATCTCTTTCACCCTCTATCAGTGACAGCCTCTGCCTGAAACGCTTCGTTTTGGCCTTTTTCCTCATGATACACATTTAGACTCAGTGTTGGAGTGTTACTTTTTACACAGCTTTGAATAATAAACCTATAAAATGTTCTTGTGATAGACTTTTATCTGCTTTATATGGCTTACAGACAGATCACTGCAGCAGTAACAATAAAGCAGAACTTACACTCTATAAAATAAGTCTCTGAATCTCCCCTCGGTGTTATCAGTGTGGTCTAGCCAAACTGCTGAGGTCTCTTCAGAACAAACAAAACAGAGCTGCATTAGTGAAAAACTGCATCTGTATTAAGCAAACCACTGAAAGGACTCCTAATAATGTTCTGTCATAAATTATTTCTGTGCATTAGCTTTATGCCGTCTGTCTTTTTCCTCCGTTTGTAGCCTCAGGGCGCCTTGTTCGAAAACAAAAATAAAAACAAAGCTCCTTCTGAAGTTTATGATTGGTTTCTAAGGATTATTGGTTGAGACGCTGTTTTCTTCGCAGCTGCAGGCATAAAACTACGACTATATGGCAGGTATGATGTCCCACCATGTGTGTCTGTTAGTGTGTGTGTGTGTGAGGGCAGCCTGTAATGAAATCAGTACTCAGCATCAAGTATTTGAGCCAATGAAAGCAGAGATCAATAAAACACAGCGTTTGGCACGCAGCCAGCTCTCAGCACATTTATCTTCCAGCCATCCTCTCTCTCCCTTCAGCTTTTTACATCCTCCATCTTTCTTTTTCTCTCTCCATCCTTTGACATAATTAAGACCTGACATTTATTCATTTTATCCCTCCTCTGTTAGCCCCCCGAAACAAACGCTCCATCTTTCACTCAGTCTTTTCAACTGGAGCAGACAACCTAATATATATATGGAGAGTTGGAGACATACCTGCTGTGTTATGTTATAAAGTTACAGTCCAAGCTGAAACTTGGCAAAGCTTCAAAACATCAGGATGAGTGAGTGATGTGTTAACCAGGTTTGGCTTGTTTCAGGAACATTTGAAAACTTTACCTGAACTTCACGTCAGGCTCTTGGTCCTGCTACGATGTTAAAGGACAAAAAAAATACAACTTTGCAATTCTAATTTCTATCAAATAATACTTACAAATCCTCCAAGCTGTACCATCACTCACAGAAGGGCAGTGATAATGATTATTTTCATTATTGATTAAACTGTCAAAATAATCCATGAGACTTTTTAAGAGCCCAGAGGTGACACTTTTTAGATTGTTTATTGAGACCCACCAAAGAAAACCCTTCAGTGATGAATTAATCATGATGAACAAAAAAAGAGCATCACATATTTACACCGAGAACCCTGAGGGCGATAATACTTTTAATGACTGAAAATTGTTTCAGACTAAAATATGGACTGTGAATTAAATTATTGTATCAGCCCTACCTAAAAATAATAATAATAATAATAATAATAATAATAATAATAATAATAATAATAGACTTGTTTTTTCCAGTAACATTGTAGGTCTAATTTTCAGCTGCAACCAAAGTGTCCACTAAAATTCCTGTTTGTGTCCCTGATTGGCTCGGACGGTTTTTATAAGTATCTGAAAATATTTCAGAGGGACTCCTACACAGATAAATTTAAAGAAAAAGTCCTCTTTTGACCCCAAAAAACTTTATATCACTGACCTTAAACCAGTGGTTCTCAATCCAGTCCTCGAGGCCCACTGTCCTGCATGTTTTGGATGTTTCCCTGCTCCAACACACCTGATTCAAATGATCAGCTCGTTATCAAGCTCTGTAATGGCTTAATAACGAGCTGATCATTTGAATCAGGTGTGCAGAACTGTTCGATATTGTGTGGGACATCTGCAATCCTGGTCCAAAATTCAGGTCTATTAACAGTCCACAGTCAGAGCCACACAGTGTGACTCTTTTGGTTTTAGTTGCACTTTAAAACAGAGTAAAATGGTGCAATACTGAAACACATTATACTGAATATACTGAGAAAAAGCACGGTTTGACAGCTCAGGTAACGTCTTTAATCAACTGCTGCAGAAACTGTGAGACAAACCGCTGAGTTAGAGACGGGGAGGGAGCGCACGATTATGCAGAGGCGTATTATCATAAGGACCACAGGTGCAGTCGTGCTTGATATTAGAGATCTTATTAACTGAACCTCTGCAGGACAATAAAAGAAAAACTCATCTCCATGTTTCTCTCTCTACGTCACACACCAGTTAACTTGATCACATATTACCAGTGTCCTGACTCAACATTACCATCCATCCTGTTTGGTAACAAAGGAAAGAGTGTGAGGTAATAATACACGTACAGATGTCCTACATTAAACACTCACATAAGAAAAGCTGTCTGTCCTCCAAACACTCACGAAAAGACAAGCACAGCATCTCCTCTCTGAAGACTGTCTAATTATTGTTACTCAACTTTAATGCTGCTTCTGTCAGTGAAACACCATAAATGTCTTAAAGGATGGACTTAAAGTGATTGAAAATCAAAATACATGTCATTAATGATATCAGCTCCACTTAAATTAAAGCTGAGTCCCTCTCTGTTTCAATGCAGACTGTATAAGAAGCTTTAGCCTCACAAAAATGAGCACATTTGGAAAATAAGTCAGACACAGCACCGACAAGAGAAGGAGCCTTTCAATCTAGAGCCTGGCTGGTGGATATTATTCACTTTTCTACACTTCTGTAAATAGATGGCACTGAGCTTTAAAGCTTGTCTTGCACTGTGTGCAAAATGAGCAGAATCTTTGCATGTGTTATTTAATTATTTATGAGTGTTTTGCTGATAAAATGACTCCTCCTTTTTTCTTTAACATCCTTTACACAGTGTGTCATCTAGATTTAACCAGTTGCACAACCAAAAGCTTCTCTATTAAAATTCTTGTCATACTTGAAAACACAGCAGGGTTGTGAAGCACTTGGTCTACATGGCCATGAGGGAAGGAAATCACCGATTGATTTGAATTGATTTAATTTATTTGGGATCCCATTAGCCTTGGCCAAGCCTAAGCTATTCTTCCAGGGGTCCTTAAGCCAGAAAGCCGTATCGTCGCCCCACGATACGATGTTGTCACGATACTTGGGCCATGATACGATATTATTGCAATTTCTAACGTTTTGCAATACAGTGAGTATTGCGATATAGCATATAGTTAACCTATTAAAATACTAGCCCAAGTCATTTTTTGACGAAAATGAGTTTTTGGCCTAAATCATCTCTTGATAATGCTGGCCACGTCTGATAAAATCGGCTAAATCCTTAGATGACAGGATCATGACATGATCCTCTAAATGAAGGATTTAGCTGTATTTTATTTTCATGTAGCACATCTTGCAAACCTTACATATATTTGTTGTACTAACTTTCTCCTGCTCTATGATGTCCCCTCTGTCAACCTCACTGGACAATAATTTTATTTTTTCCATTATCAGAGATTTGACTTCTTATTAGCGATTCATTTAAAAAAATCGATACTTGGTAAATGAGACGATACAATTTATCACCAGACAAAATATCGCAATACTTCGCTGTATCGTTTTTTTCTCCCACCTCTAATGGCCAGAAATTTATGCGGCTCCAAGTAAGCAATGCACCTGCACGTCTTTTTTTGAGACCTTGGTTGCACAGAAAGATGCAAGCATGTTTGGTGGAACGTCAAAAACTAACATTTGAGGCATTTCAGTGCTTTAAGAAAAGGCCAAAGGTGCAGCAGAGACTGCCATGAAAAGAGAAGATCCAACATGCATCCATACAGTGAGGCTTTCATGATCTGAAACATGCCAAACAACACTGCTGTGTCCTTAAATGATCTTTTTCTATGTGTTGATGCTCTGTGTGATAAACATAGAGTGAAATGAGGCAGAACATCTGGGACTGCAGATGTAAACTCAAAGATGAAACTGACTCTGCTCAGTTTTCTCCCACTGATGAGGACGATCATGTAAAACTGAGTAAAAGCATGAACATCAGCGATTATATTTAGTCGTGTGTGTTATTGTGACTCCACTCTGAGACGTTTGAAAAGAAAAAGCTCTGCAGGGTTCCTGCCTCTCTGTTTCCTCTCTAATGCTCACTAAAGATTACTTTGTGCAAACACATTTAATCCAAACCTGTTCGACCTCATTTATTCCCACAGATCATTAAACCTGATCGAGCTTCATTTATAAACACTTTGTCCTCTTGTTTTTCACTTTTTTGGAACAAATGCAGAAAAAACCACTGAAACCACAACTGATTTGGAGATCTTTCAAAGAGGGTGATCCAGACATGGGTTAAGGGTTCAAGGTTCAAAATGTATGAAGTGATGGTTAGGACTTACCTGACAGTGAAGTCATATGAGCAGGACGCCAACACTGTCCCGCTGAACGGAGAAAACTGCAGGAGAGAAACAATAATGACATGTATGACTTTGTTAAAACTACTCACACCCCTGAGTTTATAACCCAAAGAGAAAAAGAGAGTCAGACTGAGACATAATGTCATAACCAAGAAGTTAAAGATCCTCACTGTCAGTTAATGTAAAGGTGTTTTAAAGACCCACTCCGATGAAAATCATGTTTTTCTTTTTTTTTACATGTGAAACTAAATGCAAAATTTCTTTTCTGAGTCTTTCTTCATTCCAATCTCTGGCAGACCCAAACAGCAGGTTCAAAAACAGTAAGATTTCATACGTAACCAATCCAAGCTCCGCCCCCGGAGCCCCGCTAAGCAGGCCACATTCTGCATAGAGAGGAGAAATCCAGAGGACGATCACGGATCAAGTGTGTGCGTTGGCGGACTGCAATGCTCGTAAGACAGCTAATAATATTATCTTTCATCGTATCCCTAAAGACATAAGTGTCTGAATAGCGCCTATGTTACCTGTTACTTCTGCTGTACAGGCAATGTTAGGCAGAAAGCTAACGTGCAGAGCAGTGCTGTCTCCGCCCACAACTCAGAGACAAATTGCTAATGATCTATTGGAGCTCTGCAGAAAAAAAGCCCTTGAAAATGACACAGGTAACGCGATTTTTGGTAAAAACTTCATAATCACAATTTACAGACCACTGAGGACACTTTAAGTGATAAAAAAAACGATCGGAGTGGGACTTTAAGCAGTTGAATCAGCCCTGAAATTCCAGGTAACTTGTGATTTGACTCAAACATTCAAACAGCTGCGTCTAAATAAAGTGTGATTTGTTTAAAGCAGAAATGTAGAGGCTCTTCTCTCTAAAGCAGTGATGGGGCAGAAACCTGCTGAGTTTTAAAGAAAGCTTTGAATCCTCTCAGACTGCTGACTAAAACCTTCATCAGTCTGTTCTGATGTCTGACTGAAGTCTCCTCTTTGAGGCGGCAGACAGAGGAGGTTCCCTCATCTGGTAGAAAGAGTTGTGAACATTAAAGATGAGATTCTTTTTTTCTATCCCGGTTTAAGAAATGACCCGAGGCAGGTAAAGCAGACGTTTCAGCCTCTTTTCTGCTCAGCAGACGGATGATTGTGCCGACACAGAGAGAAGCCTGCTGAGAGAAACACAGCGGCTGTCGGCTAAGCACTCTTAAATTAATTTATTCCTTCATTTGTTCCTCCTCTCTGCTTCTGACAGTTTCACCTTTCTTATCATCAGATTCTCTCTCAGCCTCATTTAACACCTCTCCACTGATCTCTCTCTCTTTCTCTCCCTCTCTCTCTCTCAGTTCATTATAGACCTACTTTAATAAATATTTAAAAAGTCAAAGAAGACAAAAGAACCACCACGAGAAACAAATCTGCATCTTTGCTTTTGTGTTACACACACTTCAGGGTCTCCTTTGTTCTGTTTTTGGTGTCTTTTAATGAGTCTGGAATCTTTTAATGATATTATGTACTGTAGATGATGAAATCCACTCATTCTTTCACTTTTGAGACTCAGGTACGTTATTCTGACACTGTTGAACCATTAGCTCACTCAGACTTTCACACAATGATGCCAACATTTAGCTTGAACCCTTTTTTTTTTGGTTGACATATCAGTAGTTATTTATCAGAGTGTATGTTTGATAATCGAGACTGAAGCAGGTAAAATGTGTCAACTATGATCGATGTTTGCGTCTGATATTCGATTAATGTTGAGAGAATAAAACCAGAAACAGAAGCAAACTATAAATGTTTCACTCCTTCAGTTTATTTTTATCTCTTTTCTCTTCCTCTGCTGATCGTCACCTCCTCTTTTCTCCTCCGGTTAATCAATACAAACTGACAGATCTGCAGTGCACACAAACTCACACACACATTCACAGTTTTAAAGTGGGCACTCTTGATCAATAAGTGACAGCTGTCCTGAAAAACCCAACCTGAGCAGAGCTGACATTTGATTGGGTGAACTCAGGTAAGCGTGTGTGAAGAGGAACAACTGCAGATGCATTTAGGGAGTCTCTGCAAATACGTTTGATATGTGCATCTTTGTGTGTTTAAGTGTGTAAGTGTGTGTGCATGTGTGCTCCTATTAGGTCCATTCACGGGGGTGTTTTGATGCTGTCAGGCCCTGCAGTGACTCTCTGCTAACACAGCACACAAACACACGATGCTCTGAACAGCGAGAACAAAGTGTTGAAACGAGACACTTGACAGCATGTGAAACCGGGCCGGATGTGACTGTGTGCATGTGTGTCTGTGTGTACGTACATATACATGCGTGTGTGTGTGTGTGTGTGTTTGTGTACCTTGACTCTGCGGATGGCGTAGGAGTGGCCTTGGAGTTGATTGACAGGCTGTCTGACGTTCCTCAGGTCCCACACACACACAGTGCAGTCCACCGAGCCTGTGGCCACAATATTCTACAAAAATCACAGAAAAATCACTTTAATTGAGAATCCTGTTGTTATGTTTATATCCTTAATACCCTGAGGGATCGTTTTGATGCCTCAACAGCAGGCTGATCCATGCTAAACAGGAGGGTCTGTTGATGGCTGATGGACTTACCAGTACCCAGAAACATCTGGATTCAGTGAGTAACATTAAGTAACACTAGATTCAAAAGGTGGGTGTTTACCTGGTCATATTTACACCAATCACAGCTGAGGATCTCAGCTTTGTGAGCTGGAACAGCCAATCGGCACGCAGCTGCTTTTATATCCCAAACTCGGAGCGTCCCGTCACCTGAAGAGGGACAGAGAGAGACAGCGGCGATTTACCCAGAATGCCCTGCACATCCACAGCACAAACCAGTGACCATCTTGCTTTAATTTATTAATGGATACAAGAGAGAGAAAGAAGATATACGAGGCAGGAGAGGGACAAAAAAGAGGTTAATAGAGGGGAACACTGCTGCCAGGGTTTGAGTTTCAGTGGACACTTTTATTTTACCGTGTGTGTGTGTGTGTGTGTGTGTGTGTGTGTGTGTCCAAGTATAACTTATTTTCTGGTGAACGGTTGGTCCTCATTTCAGGGACCACTTCATTATGGCATTAACCCAACAGTGTATTTGTGAGTGTGTGTGTGTGTGTATGTGTGTTTTTTCTGGGCAAAGGTTGAGGGTCTGCCAGCACTGCGACATTTATAAAGCAGAACCCTAACACTCCCCCTTCTCCTTCTCCTCCTCTTCTTCATCTTCTTCCTCCTCCTCCTTCTCTTCATTCATTTTACAGCCAGCAGCCTCTGGAAGGTTTATCAAATCTCCTGTTTCTCCCTCTTTGAGCCAAATTTAGAGTCAGAGCTTTAAAAAGTTTTGTCTAAAAAATTGCATAAGAATTCTGCTTCAGGAAAATTTTAATTTAATCAACACAGAGACTCCAAAAATCAGAAAAATCAGAATTTTGCCTCGTTACCTCATGCCTCATGTAATTTTTATGATACTCAAAAGCCAACTGAAACTCCCTTATATATGAAAGAGGATTAGAGTCACAAGGAGGGAAAAAAATAATAAAAGGGGGAGATTTTTTTTTAATTTCCATTTCAAGATTAAAGTCAAAATTTCAAGATTTAAGTCGAAATTTTAAAAAGTCAAAATTTCGACTTTAATCTCGAAATTTAAACTCTAATGTCAAAATTTTTATTTTTTTAGTCTAGATATTTCTACACTATTTACAACATTTCGTAACCTCAATATTTTGACTTATATCTCAAAATTTCGTCTTTATTGACATAATTTTGATTCTTTTGACATAATTTCGATTCTTTTAATCTCAACGTTTCGACTTTAATGTTGAAAAAAATTAAATAATCGGAGAAAGATTTTTTTAAATTGCCATCTCGAGATTAAGACCAAATTTTCGAGATTAAAAGTCGAAATTGGGATTCATGTGGACTTTAATCTCGAAATAAAATTATTTTTTTTTTTCATCTGGAAATTTCTTCATTATCCACAACATTTTGTAAACTCGAAATTAAACTTTAATCTCGAAAATTTCAAGATTTAATCTTGAAATTTTGACTTAATTGACACAATGTTGATTTTTTTTATCTCGAAATTTGAACTTTAATATTGAAATTTGGACTTTTATCTCTTTCCTTTAATTATTTTTTTTCCCCTTCATGCGGCCCTTATCCTCCTCCGTACTTATATGACCTTTAACTAAAAGTGTAAATAAACCCAGCAGAGATGAGTCAGGGCCAAAAGGTTTAAGAAATTGAAAAGAAAGATAAAAACATAAAAAGACAGAATGAATGACAACACAAAAGAGAGAAGAAGCGAAAAAGTGAGTAAAAAAGCTGTCAAGAAGACACCACTGGTTGTCACAACGGGTGGAAATGTAAACAGGTGAATTACTGTGAGATATAAGTGCCGACTCAAAACAACAGGAAGAGTCCAATGCTACAACAGGTCCCACGGTTATTGTCTGACAAGGATATAAAGCCACTGAGGGTGACAGGGATATTCATAAAAACTGTTTTTCTGCAAAAGACTCAAGACTTTGGCACTTTGTGACTCAAACAGCTGATGTCAAGTATAACATGCTGCACAGCATCTGTAGGAAAACAGGGATGCTGTTAGAGGTTGAGAGCTGTTTACACCAAGGTAAAGGTGTAAAAACATCCATGAATACAGCATAGATCTAACCAAAGTAAAACAACTCATCAGATTTTTTTCTGATGGCGAAGTTTAGACCAGGGTCTCTGAAAGTTCTCCCCCGAAACGACACCCTCTAAAGTCTTTACAGGGCAAACACCATGAGAGCTCAGGCTGGAATATTTTGAATGAGGGGCTCGGACCAAAAACTGTTTGATTAAAAATCAAAGAGCTTCTTTCAGCTCTCCTCCTCCTCCTCCTCCTCCTCTCCCCCACCTTATACTCTCTATCCCTCCCTCCACCTCCTTTTTAATCCCAGCCATGGATAAAAAACTGTTCCTCCCAGACTACATCCTGCTGCACTTCATTGATTCTTTCATAACTGTTTTAACCCTTTACATCCTTCTTTTTTAAATCATTTCTACTCCTCCTTCCACACTCACACACTCATAGTCAGACGTGGAAGATCCTCTGGAGAGAAAAAACATTAAGACGATGAGTGTGTGACGGAGAATAGAGAGACAGAGTGCGGGTGTGTGTGTCACATTTAACATCATCAAAACTGTTTAACATTTTGTTCCTGCAGCAGCCACAAAGAGGGTCTTTGGCTCTGCATGAAAATGTATGAGAGTGTGTGTGTGTGTGTGTGTGTGTGTGTGTGTGTGTGTGTGTGTGTGTGTGTGTGTGTGTGTGTGTGTGTGCATGCCGCGGTGCATTAGAGGCTGACTTCTGTAAAAGGGTCTCACTCTATTACACCTGGTATCGCTGCTGCATCAGCAACTTGGGCACACACTCACACACTATGCATTGACACACACATACACTAGCACAGACACACACACACATGCAGCAAGCTTTTACATACGGTCACTCTGCAGCTTCACCTGTAAAATAAAGCAAATGATTTTGTATGGAGAGGAGCAGAAGGAGGCCGGTGTGTGTATCCATGTGTGCCTGAAAAGCCAAGGGACCACTAACAAGCTAACAACAAGCTAATATCCATCCAGGCTGAAGCAAACTGACCTGGACTTCACACCCCTTATCAGCCTTCTCCACCTCCTCCTTGGTGGACAGCACTGAACTCCAAGGAACTCTAAGAAAGGATGTACAGTGTAATCCCACATGTGAGCTTCAGGTCTACCCTGGAGTGTCCTAGTTTTAATGTGCCCAGAAAACCTCCCAAGAAAGGTGACCAGAGGAGTCCCAGTCAGATACCAAAACCACTTAAAGGGATACTCCGGCATAAAATTAAGCTTGGGTCAAACACACTGTAACACCGAGTTAGACAGAAATTAGTGTTGCAGACCACTTGCTTCTCTAGTTATACCAACTTTTGAAACGACCGCACGATAGCAATACACAGCGGTCTCAGTAGCCATAAACAAACCTCAACCAAAACACCACTCTATAGCCACAAATAATGCTCAGAACAGCGCCTAACTTTATCAACAGTACATACAGGGTCAGTACAAACGGCTGCTGGAAGAAAGTAGGTGAGTTGTGTTTTAATTAGGCAAAGTTAAAAAGATGTTTGGTGGCTAGTACTATGGCTAGGACCCTATATGTATTGTTAATGAAGTTAGATGCTGCTCTGAGCATTATTTGTGGCTATAGAGTAGCGTTTTGGTTGAGCACGTGGCTCCGGGGACTGCTGTGTATTGCTATCGTGCGGTCGTTACTAAAGTTGGTATGACTAGGGAAGCAAGCGGTCGGCAACATTCATCTCTCAACAGGGTGTCTAACTCAGTGTTACGGTGTGTAAGACCCTAAATTAATTTTATGCTGGAATATCCCTTTAAACTGACCTTTTTTAGTGTGAAGGAGTGGTGATTCCTCTCTGAGCTCCCTCTGGATGTCTGAGCTCTTTATCCTTTCTGTAAGGCCAACCCCAGACTCTCCAGAGAGGTCTCATTTCAGCTCCCTGTATCCGCAATCTCAGTCTTTCGGTCTCTACCCAAAGCTCGTGACCAAAGGTGAGGGTTGGAACAACTGTAGATGCTCCTTCATTGGGGGTGAAGACATTCCCCACCCAGGAGACCAACATCTCCGGCAGAACACCAAGTTTTTAGGGCCCGAGCGTAGCTGCTAAGCAGCTGCGAGAGCCCTCTTGTTCCTGTAGTTTCCTTCTTTTGTTATTATTATTATTATTTTTCCTCCCCTTTGAACTGGAAAATGGCCCACTTCCCACTGGCGAAAACTCATGAAATTTGGCAGGACGACCGGGCCTGGTGAAAAATTTGATATTCCGAAGTCGCCCAAACAAGAAAATGCAAAATGGCTCCATAGCGCCCCCTAAGGTGAAAATTACCACTATTGACTGTCACGCCGGTACGCTTTGTCAAAATGACACAAAAATTGACACACACATGTATCTCAATAAGATCTACGAAAAAGTCAATGCGCGCGTATCTGTCAAATGTACGGTTAAAGGGTTATTCCGCATTTTTTGCCGATCCGCACACATTGGAATTTCGCTAACTCCTCCGAAGGCTTTCGTTCCACCGGCACCACATTTGCTCAGGCCAATCTACACCCCATGGCCATTAAAAGTTATTCAAATCATGACGCTGCACCCCACGGTTTAGGTTCTAGGGGGAGCCAAAGATAACCGTAAAATCCACATATTTAAAAGTCTTATAACTTTTTATTTTTGTCCCCACTGGCCTCCAAGTTTTCTAGGATGATGCAATGTCCAGCCATCAACACATTTGTGAAGGAATTTTTACTCCCCAAAAGAGCGCCCCCCCATGGCAGGAGAAAAAAGTCAATTTTTTCTTGTCCACTAAGGTGAAAATACACATTGTTGAGTGCTACGCCTGTATGTTTTGTCGTATTGACACAACATTTTACATACACGTGTATTTCAATAAGATCTTCGAAAAAGTCAATGGCCACGTATCTGTAAAATGTACGGTTAAAGGGTTATTTCGCATTTTTTGCAGATTCGCACACATTGGAATTTCGCTAACTCCTCCGAAGGCTTTCGTTCCACCGGCACCACATTTGCTCAGGCCAATCTACACCCCATGGCCATTAAAAGTTATTCAAATCATGACGCTGCACCCCACGGTTTAGGTTCTAGGGGGCGCCAAAGATAACCCTAAAATCCACATATTTAAAAGTCTTATAACTTTTTATTTTTGTCCTCACTGGCCTCCAAGTTTTCTAGGATGATGCAATGTCCAGCCATCAACACATTTGTGAAGGAATTTTTACTCCCCAAAAGAGCGCCCCCCCATGGCAGGAGAAAAAAGTCAATTTTTTCTTGTCCCCTAAGGTGGAAATTCACACTATTGACTGTCACGCCTGTACGCTTTATCATATTGACACAAAAATTGACACACATATGTATCTCAATAAGATCTACAAAAAAGTCAATGCGCGCGTATCTGTCAAATGTACGGTTAAAGGGCTATTTTGCATTTTTTGCCGATTCGCACACATTGGAATGTGGCTAATCCTCCTAAGGCTTTCGTCCCACTGACACCAAATTTGCTCAGGCCAATCTACACCCCATGGCCATTCAAAGTTGTAAAAATCATGACGCTGCACCCCACGGTTTACGTTCTAAGGGGCGCCAAAGATGACCCAAAAATCCACATTCTTAAAGGAATCCACATCCCCCCCCCCCCAAGGCAGGAGAAAAAGTCAAGTTAACCCTGCCCATCGCTCAATGGCTCAATCGCATCGCTCTCCAGGCAACACCGTAAGGAGGAGCAACCTGCCATTTCGATATATCATAGCTGTGTTTGTGCCCTCACTCATGGTCCAGACTTTTTTCAAATAGGACATGAAGTTTGTCTGCAGCGAGAGTTTTGGTAGAAACTGCGCCTCCCATTCATTATAATGGGAAATGACCACAGACAAGTGAGCACACCATCTTTGGACCTTGAGTGTGACGCGATCGGGAGGGGGAGGCGGTCGCGCTGGGGGCGGCGCGACGCGGCTCGGGCCCGACAGTGCCCCACCGGGGCCCTAGTTTGTTATTAGGGCCCGAGCCAGCTGCAGAGCAGCCGGGCGTAGGCCCTGTTATTCCTGTAGGGGTTTTTAGGGCCCGAGCGTAGCTGCTAAGCAGCTGCGAGAGCCCTCTTGTTCCTGTAGTTTCCTTCTTTTGTTATTATTATTATTTTTCCTCCCCTTTGAACTGGAAAATGGCCCACTTCCCACTGGCGAAAACTCATGAAATTTGGCAGGACGACCGGGCCTGGTGAAAAATTTGATATTCCGAAGTCGCCCAAACAAGAAAATGCAAAATGGCTCCATAGCGCCCCCTAAGGTGAAAATTCACACTATTCACTGTCACGCCTGTACGCTTTGTCAAAATGACACAAAAATTGACACACACATGTATCTCAATAAGATCTACAAAAAAGTCAGTGCGGGCGTATCTGTCAAATGTACGGTTAAAGGGTTATTTCGCATTTTTTGCCGATCCGCACACATTGGAATTTCGCTAACTCCTCCGAAGGCTTTCGTTCCACCGGCACCACATTTGCTCAGGCCAATCTACACCCCATGGCCATTAAAAGTTATTCAAATCATGACGCTGCACCCCACGGTTTAGGTTCTAGGGGGCGCCAAAGATAACCCTAAGATCCACATATTTAAAAGTCTTATAACTTTTTATTTTTGCCCTCACTGGCCTCCAAGTTTTCTAGGATGATGCAATGTCCAGCCATCAACACATTTGTGAAGGAATTTTTACTCCCCAAAAGAGCGCCCCCCCATGGCAGGAGAAAAAAGTCCATTTTTTCTTGTCCCCTAAGGTGAAAATACACATTGTTGAGTGTAACACCTGTACGCTTTGGCAAAATGACACAAAAATTGACACACACATGTATCTCAATAAGATCTACGAAAAAGTCAATGCGCGCGTATCTGTCAAATGTACGGTTAAAGGGTTATTCCGCATTTTTTGCCGATGCGCACACATTGGAATTTCGCTAACTCCTCCGAAGGCTTTCGTTCCACCGGCACCACATTTGCTCAGGCCAATCTACACCCCATGGCCATTAAAAGTTATTCAAATCATGATGCTGCACCCCATGGTTTAGGTTCTAGGGGGCGCCAAAAATAACCCAAAAATCCACATTCTTAAATGTTTTATAACTTTTTATTTTTGTCCTCACTGGCCTCCAAGTTTTCTAGGATGATGCAATGTCCAGCCATCAACACATTTGTGAAGGAATTTTTACTCCCCAAAAGAGCGCCCCCCATGGTAGGAGAAAAAAGTCAATTTTTTCTTGTCCCCTTACATAAAAATACACATTGTTGAGTGTCACGCCTGAACGCTTTGTCAAAATGACACAAAAATTGACAATCATGTGTATCTCAATTAGATCTACGAAAAAGTCAAAGAGCGCGTATCTGTATAATGTACGGTTAAAGGGCTATTTTGCATTTTTTGCCGATTCGCACACATTGGAATGTGGCTATCTCCTCCTAAGGCTTTCGTCCCACCGATACCAAATTTGCTCAGGGCAATCTACACCCCATGCCCATTCAAAGTTGTAAAAATCATGACGCTGCACCCCACGGTTTACGTTCTAGGGGGCGCCAAAGATGACCCAAAAATCCACATTCTTAAAAGTCATTTTGGCCACTGCAGGAGTACAGAGTACTGCAGTTCTAGGGGGCGCCAAAGATGACCCAAAAATCCACATTCTTAAAAGTCTTTTTGGCCACTGCAGGAGTACAGAGTACTGCAGGATACACACACATATACACACACGCCAACATACACACACACACACACACACACACACACACACACACACACACACACAGACACACACACACACTCAGAGTCTGTTTTTTAGCACCTGCAAAAACATGCTGTTTACATATTTGACAAGAATGCAGAGGCTTCCTTTTGCCCCTGAAAAAAAATCAAATTTCAAACACAACTTGACTGTTCATTTCTCCAAAAGACAACCATGAAGCTCCATTTCAAACCTGAAGCAGATAGTTGGTGCATGTGTACAGTAACCTGAGGGGAGTGAGGTGACTATTTCTGAGGAGAACATGAGCAGTGAAGATTCACCTTGGAGCTAGAACAGGGACGTGCACATGATTATACAGGGGCAGGGGCTCAAGTTTTTTCCAGTCATTTATACAATATGGAAATTAATGTGAAATTAAACCACAAATATGTGTGATGAACTGTTTTTAAAACTTAAACTTCAAATAAAAATTGTAAACTTCAAAACATATGCAAATTTTTAACAAAGAACATAGTAATTTACCTCTATTTACATCAAAATGCAGGCAATGGCCCAGGCGTTCTTTGTAAAATTATTTACAAAACACTGTATAGTCTCACAAATGTCACTTTTTATTTATGCCACTACAAAAAAACATGATGTAAATGATGCATGATGTAAAACATGATGTAAAAAACTTGTGTAGATCCTCCTCTATGTCAGTCCATGTGTAATTTTTCCATAATTCTTTGTTTTTTGCAGCATTTTTGTTAGTGTAACTGCAGATTGTGCTGACAGTGTCTATGGCACAAAAAAAAAAAAAAAAATTAAAATGCCTCAACATGAACCCCTGGTGGTCTCTGAGGGTGAAACCTGCTAACTGCTGCAGCTCTGTCAGCTTCAGTCTCCCATGCAGAGCTCTGAGCGCATGTGTGGCTCTGCACCCTTAGCAGCGTTGCTAACTCCTCAGTAAGGAAAGCCTGCTTCATGTCAGAGTCTCTAAACTCCAGAAGAAGTCGATAAAAGTCCCTTTCTTTCTAAAAAAAAGTCGTTAGGGGGTCTGAAAAGTCATTGAATCTAACAACAAAGTCGCTAGGTTTGCAACTACGTGTCCCAGACTGCATCCCTGCTGAGAGTCCCTCCCTCCCTTCTCATGTTGCAGGAAGAACGTAAGCGCCCGCCCCTTGTCAATCAGTCACCATATAATTTTGGATTGGTTGTTGTGGTGAAGTATCCACCAATAGGAGAGATGTTGTGGTGTGTTTTTTTTTTCTTTTGGCAAGCCTTTTCCGCCTGTAAGACCTGTCGCTAATGTCTGCATGCTATGTTTTTCTGTCTCATACAGCGCGATTGAGCGCCGAACGTGATCAAAATAAGCAGAAAAAAAGTATCGCGGACATAATTTATCATAACTCTGGTTTTATTTGGCCTATCAACACAATTTAAAAACTGGTATATAGGTTGAGGTCCTCACTTTTGAGATAAGTTGAAACGGAGAGTCACCGAGGCTCCGTCTTGCAGCTACATCCGGTTAAATATGTCATGTGACTTGAACGCACACACAGACACACACACACGCACACACACACACACACACACACACACACACACACACACTCAGAGTCTGGTTTTTAGCACCTGCAAAAACATGCTATTTACATATTTGACAAGAATGCAGAGGCTCCTTTTGCCCCTGAAAAAAATCAAATTTCAAACACAACTTGACTGGTCATTTCTCCAAAAGACAACCATGAAGCTCCATCCAAACCTGAAGCAGGCAGTTGGTGCATGTGTACAGTAACCTGAGGGGAGTGAGGTGAGTGCTTCTGAGGAGAACATGAGCAGTGAAGATTCACCTTAGAGCTAGAACAGAGACATGCACATGATTATACAGGGGCAGGGGCTCAAGTTTTTTCCAGTCGTTTATACAATATGGAAATTAATGTGAAATTAAAACACAAAGTATTAATAGAAAGGTAATGACTGTCCTGTGTAGGTGACAGTGATATCGAATAGGCTAGGCACTCACGAGGCTGGCTGTGGCAAGTGTAAGTGAAAGCAACACGCACTGGCAGGAAGAACAGCAAACGCCGATGAAGGAAAAGGGTCTTTGCAGTGATGGGCGTTACCAGAGAGGGCGATGGCCAGAGGACACAAATGGGACGGGGAGGCAGCGCGTTGGGGGGGGGGCGACACGGCTCGGGCCCGCCAGTGCCCCAACGGGGTCCTAGTTAGGGCCCGAGCGTAGCTGCTAAGCAGCTGCGAGAGCCCTATTATTCCCCAAGTGGTTTTTCTTTGTTTCTTTTTTCTTTTTCCTCCCCTTTGAACTGGAAAATGGCCCACTTCCCACTGGCGAAAACTCATGAAATTTGGCAGGACGACCGGGCCTGGTGAAAAATTTGATATTCTGAAGTCGCCCAAACAATACAATGCAAAATGGCTCCATAGCGCCCCCTAAGGTGAAAAATTCACCTGACGCCTGTACGCTTTGTCAAAATGACACAAAAATTGACACACACATGTATCTCAATAAGATCTACAAAAAAGTCAGTGCGGGCGTATCTGTCAAATGTACGGTTAAAGGGTTATTGCGCATTTTTTGCCGATCCGCACACATTGGAATTTCGCTAACTCCTCCGAAGGCTTTCGTTCCACCGGCACCACATTTGCTCAGGCCAATCTACACCCCATGGCCATTAAAAGTTATTCAAATCATGACGCTGCTCCCCACGGTTTAGGTTCTAGGGGGCGCCAAAGATAACCCTAAAATCCACATATTTAAAAGTCTTATAACTTTTTATTTTTGCCCTCACTGGCCTCCAAGTTTTCTAGGATGATGCAATGTCCAGCCATCAACACATTTGTGAAGGAATTTTTACTCCCCAAAAGAGCGCCCCCCCATGGCAGGAGAAAAAAGTCCATTTTTTCTTGTCCCATAAGGTGAAAATTCACACTATTGACTGTCACGCCTGTACGCTTTGTCAAAATTACACAAAAATTGACACACACATGTATCTCAATAAGATCTACAAAAAAGTCAGTGCGGGCGTATCTGTCAAATGTACGGTTAAAGGGTTATTGCGCATTTTTTGCCGATCCGCACACATTGGAATTTCGCTAACTCCTCCGAAGGCTTTCGTTCCACCGGCACCACATTTGCTCAGGCCAATCTACACCCCATGGCCATTAAAAGTTATTCAAATCATGACGCTGCACCCCACGGTTTAGGTTCTAGGGGGCGCCAAAGATAACCCTAAAATCCACATATTTAAAAGTCTTATAACTTTTTATTTTTGTCCTCTCTGGCCTCCAAGTTTTCTAGGATGATGCAATGTCCAGCCATCAACACATTTGTGAAGGAATTTTTACTCCCCAAAAGAGCGCCCCCCCATGGCAGGAGAAAAAAGATCATTTTTTCTTGTCCCATAAGGTGAAAATACACATTGTTGACTGTCATACCTGTATGCTTTGTCATATTGACACAAAATTTGACACACACATGTATCTCAATAAGATCTACGAAAAAGTCAATCCGCGCGTATCTGTAAAATGTACGGTTAAAGGGCTATTTTGCATTTTTTGCCGATTAGCACACATTGGAATGTGGCTAACTCCTCCAAAGGCTTTTGTCCCACTGACACCAAATTTGCTCAGGCCAATCTACACCCCATGGCCATTCAAAGTTTTAAAAATCATGACGCTGCACCCCACGGTTTACGTTCTAGGGGGCGCCAAAGATGACCCAAATATCCACATTCTTAAAAGAATCCACATCCCCCCTCCCCCCATCCCCCATCCCCCATCCCCCATGGCAGGAGAAACAGTCAAGTTTTTCCTGCCCATCACTCAATGGCTCAATCGCATCGCTCTCCCGGCAACACCGTAACGAGGAGCAACTTGCCGTTTGGATATATCCTAGCTGTGTTTGTGCCCTCACTCATGGTCCAGACTTTTTTCAAATAGGACATGTAGTTTGTCTGCAGCGAGTGTTTTGGTAGAAACTGCGCCTCCCATTCATTATAATGGGAAATGACCACAGACAAGTGCGGACACCATCTTTGGACCTTGAGTGTGACGCGATCGGGAGGGGGAGGCGGTCGCACTGGGGGCGGCGCAACGCGGCTCGGGCCCGCCAGTGCCCCAACGGGGCCCTAGTTCTTTGTTTCTTTCTTTCTTCTTTTTCCTCCCCTTTGAACTGGAAAATGGCCCACTTCCCACTGGCGAAAACTCATGAAATTTGGCAGGACGACCGGGCCTGGTGAAAAATTCGATATTCTGAAGTCGCCAAAACAATAAAATGCAAAATGGCTCCATAGCGCCCCCTAAGGTGGAAATTCACACTATTGACTGTCACGCCTGTACGCTTTGTCAAAATGACACAAAAATTGACACACACATGTATCTCAATAAGATCTACAAAAAAGTCAGTGCGGCCGTATCTGTCAAAATTACGGTTAAAGGGTTATTTTGCATTTTTTGCCGATCCGCACACATTGGAATTTCGCTAACTCCTCCGAAGGCTTTCGTTCCACCGGCACCACATTTGCTCAGGCCAATCTACACCCCGTGGCCATTAAAAGTTATCAAAATCATGACGCTGCACCCCAAGGTTTAGGTTCTAGGGGGCGCCAAAGATAACACTAAAATCCACATATTTAAAAGTCTTATAACTTTTTATTTTTGTCCTCACTGGCCTCCAAGTTTTCTAGGATGATGCAATGTCCAGCCATCAACACATTTGTGAAGGAATTTTTACTCCCCAAAAGAGCGCCTCCCCATGGCAGGAGAAAAAAGTCCATTTTTTCTTGTCCCCTAAGGTGAAAATACACATTGTTGAGTGTCACGCCTATACGCTTTGTCAAAATGACACAAAAATTGACACACACATGTAACTCAATAAGATCTACAAAAAAGTCCATGCACGCGTATCTGTCAAAATTACGGTTAAAGGGTTATTTCGCATTTTTTGCCGATCCGCACACATTGGAATTTCGCTAACTCCTCCGAAGGCTTTCGTTCCATTGGCACCACATTTGCTCAGGCCAATCTACACCCCATGCCCATTAAAAGTTATTCAAATCATGATGCTGCACCCCATGGTTTAGGTTCTAGGGGGCGCCAAAAATAACCCAAAAATCCACATTCTTAAATGTTTTATAACTTTTTATTTTTGTCCTCACTGGCCTCCAAGTTTTCTAGGATGATGCAATGTCCAGCCATCAACACATTTGTGAAGGAATTTTTACTCCCCAAAAGAGCGCCCCCCCATGGTAGGAGAAAAAAGTCAATTTTTTCTTGTCCCCTTACATGAAAATACACATTGTTGAGTGTCACGCCTGAACGCTTTGTCATATTGACACAAAAATTGACAATCATGTGTATCTCAATTAGATCTACGAAAAAGTCAAAGAGCGCGTATCTGTATAATGTACGGTTAAAGGGCTATTTTGCATTTTTTGCCGATTCGCACACATTGGAATGTGGCTATCTCCTCCTAAGGCTTTCGTCCCACCGATACCAAATTTGCTCAGGGCAATCTACACCCCATGCCCATTCAAAGTTGTAAAAATCATGACGCTGCACCCCACGGTTTACGTTCTAGGAGGCGCCAAAGATGACCCAAAAATCCACATTCTTAAAAGTCATTTTGGCCACTGCAGGAGTACAGAGTACTGCAGTTCTAGGGGGCGCCAAAGATGACCCAAAAATCCACATTCTTAAAAGTCTTTTTGGCCACTGCAGGAGTACAGAGTACTGCAGGATACACACACATATACACACACGCCAACATACACACACACACACACACACACACACACACACACACACACACACACACACACTCAGAGTCTGTTTTTTAGCACCTGCAAAAACATGCTGTTTACATATTTGACAAGAATGCAGAGGCTTCCTTTTGCCCCTGAAAAAAATCAAATTTCAAACACAACTTGACTGTTCATTTCTCCAAAAGACAACCATGAAGCTCCATTTCAAACCTGAAGCAGATAGTTGGTGCATGTGTACAGTAACCTGAGGGGAGTGAGGTGACTATTTCTGAGGAGAACATGAGCAGTGAAGATTCACCTTGGAGCTAGAACAGGGACGTGCACATGATTATACAGGGGCAGGGGCTCAAGTTTTTTCCAGTCATTTATATAATATGGAAATTAATGTGAAATTAAACCACAAATATGTGTGATGAACTGTTTTTAAAACTTAAACTTCAAATAAAAATTGTAAACTTCAAAACATATGCAAATTTTAAACAAAGAACATAGTGATTTACCTCTATTTTCATCAAAATGCAGGCAATGGCCCAGGCGTTCTTTGTAAAATTATTTACAAAACACTGTATAGTCTCACAAATGTCACTTTTTATTTATGCCACTACAAAAAAACATGATGTAAATGATGCATGATGTAAAACATGATGTAAAAAACTTGTGTAGATCCTCCTCTATGTCAGTCCATGTGTAATTTTTCCATAATTCTTTGTTTTTTGCAGCATTTTTGTTAGTGTAACTGCAGATTGTGCTGACAGTGTCTATGGCACAAAAAAAAAAATTTAAAATGCCTCAACATGAACCCCTGGTGGTCTCTGAGGGTGAAACCTGCTAACTGCTGCAGCTCTGTCAGCTTCAGTCTCCCATGCAGAGCTCGGAGCGCATGTGTGGCTCTGCACCCTTAGCAGCGTTGCTAACTCCTCAGTAAGGAAAGCCTGCTTCATGTCAGAGTCTCTAAACTCCAGAAGAAGTCGATAAAAGTCACTTTCTTTCTAAAAAAAAGTCGTTAGGGGGTCTGAAAAGTCATTGAATCTAACAACAAAGTCGCTAGGTTTGCAACTACGTGTCCCAGACTGCATCCCTGCTGAGAGTCCCTCCCTCCCTTCTCATATTGCAGGAAGAACGTAAGTTCCCGCCCCTTGTCAATCAGTCACCATATAATTTTGGATTGGTTGTTGTGGTGAAGTTTTCCACCAATAGGAGAGATGTTGTGGTGTGTTTTTTTTTTTCCTTTGGCAAGCCTTTTCCGCCTGTAAGACCTGTCGCTAATGTCTGCATGCTATGTTTTCCTGTCTCATACAGCGCGATCGAGCGCCGAACGTGATCAAAATAAGCAGAAAACAAGTATCGCGGACATAATTTATCATAACTCTGGTTTTATTTGGCCTATCAACACAATTTAAAAACTGGTATATAGGTTGAGGTCCTCACTTTTGAGATAAATTGAAACGGAGAGTCAACGAGGCTCCGTCTTGCAGCTACATCCGGTTAAATATGTCATGTGACTTGAACGCACACACACACACACACACACAGACACACACACACACGCACACACACACACTCAGAGTCTGGTTTTTAGCACCTGCAAAAACATGCTATTTACATATTTGACAAGAATGCAGAGGCTCCTTTTGCCCCTGAAAAAAATCAAATTTCAAACACAACTTGACTGGTCATTTCTCCAAAAGACAACCATGAAGCTCCATCCAAACCTGAAGCAGGCAGTTGGTGCATGTGTACAGTAACCTGAGGGGAGTGAGGTGACTGCTTCTGAGGAGAACATGAGCAGTGAAGATTCACCTTAGAGCTAGAACAGAGACGTGCACATGATTATACAGGGGCAGGGGCTCAAGTTTTTTCCAGTTGTTTATACAATATGGAAATTAATGTGAAATTAAAAAACAAAGTATTAATAGAAAGGTAATGACTGTCCTGTGTAGGTGACAGTAATATCCAATAGGCTAGGCACTCACGAGGCTGGCTGTGGCAAGTGTAAGTGAAAGCAAAAAGCACTGGCAGGAAGAACAGCAAACGCCGATGAAGGAAAAGGGTCTTTGCAGTGATGGGCGTTACCAGAGAGGGCGATGGCCAGAGGACACAAATGGGACGGGGAGGCAGCGCGTTGGGGGGGGGACGCGACACAGCTCGGGCCCGCCAGTGCCCCAACGGGGTCCTAGTTAGGGCCCGAGCGTAGCTGCTAAGCAGCTGCGAGAGCCCTATTATTCCCCAAGGGGTTTTTCTTTGTTTCTTTTTTCTTTTTCCTCCCCTTTGAACTGGAAAATGGCCCACTTCCCACTGGCGAAAACTCATGAAATTTGGCAGGACGACCGGGCCTGGTGAAAAATTTGATATTCCGAAGTCGCCCAAACAAGAAAATGCAAAATGGCTCCATAGCGCCCCCTAAGGTGAAAAATTCACCTGACGCCTGTACGCTTTGTCAAAATGACACAAAAATTGACACACACATGTATCTCAATAAGATCTACAAAAAAGTCAGTGCGGGCGTATCTGTCAAATGTACGGTTAAAGGGTTATTGCGCATTTTTTGCCGATCCGCACACATTGGAATTTCGCTAACTCCTCCGAAGGCTTTCGTTCCACCGGCACCACATTTGCTCAGGCCAATCTACACCCCATGGCCATTAAAAGTTATTCAAATCATGACGCTGCACCCCACGGTTTAGGTTCTAGGGGGCGCCAAAGATAACACTAAAATCCACATATTTCAAAGTCTTATAACTTTTTATTTTTGTCCTCACTGGCCTCCAAGTTTTCTAGGATGATGCAATGTCCAGCCATCAACACATTTGTGAAGGAATTTTTACTCCCCAAAAGAGCGCCCCCCCATGGCAGGAGAAAAAAGTCCATTTTTTCTTGTCCCCTAAGGTGAAAATACACATTGTTGAGTGTCACGCCTGTACGCTTTGTCATATTGACACAAAATTTGACACACACATGTATCTCAATAAGATCTACGAAAAAGTCAATGGGCGCGTATCTGTCAAATGTACGGTTAAAGGGTTATTCCGCATTTTTTGCTGATCCGCACACATTGGAATTTCGCTAACTCCTCCTAAGGCTGGCGTTCCACCGGCACCACATTTGCTCAGGCCAATCTACACCCCATGGCCATTAAAAGTTATTCAAATCATGACGCTGCACCCCACGGTTTAGGTTCTAGGGGGCGCCAAAGATAACCCTAAAATCCACATATTTCAAAGTCTTATAACTTTTTATTTTTGTCCTCACTGGCCTCCAAGTTTTCTAGGATGATGCAATGTCCAGCCATCAACACATTTGTGAAGGAATTTTTACTCCCCAAAAGAGCGCCCCCCCATGGCAGGAGAAAAAAGTCCATTTTTTCTTGTCCCATAAGGTGAAAAAACACATTGTTGACTGTCATACCTGTACGCTTTGTCATATTGACACAAAATTTGACAATCACATGTATCTCAATAAGATCTACGAAAAAGTCAATGCGCGCGTATCTGTAAAATATACGGTTAAAGGGCTATTTTGCATTTTTTGCCGATTCGCACACATTGGAATGTGGCTAACTCCTCCGAAGGCTTTCGTCCCACTGACACCAAATTTGCTCAGGCCAATCTACACCCCATGGCCATTCAAAGTTGTAAAAATCATGACGCTGCACCCCACGGTATACGTTCTAGGGGGCGCCAAAGATGACCCAAATATCCACATTCTTAAAAGAATCCACCCCCCATCCCCCAACCCCCATGGCAGGAGAAACAGTCAAGTTTTTCCTGCCCATCACTCAATGGCTCAGTCGCATCACTCTCCCGGCAACACCGTAACGAGGAGCAACCTGCCATTTGGATATATCCTAGCTGTGTTTGTGCCCTCACTCATGGTCCAGACTTTTTTCAAATAGGACATGTAGTTTGTCTGCAGCGGCCGTTTTGGTAGAAACTGCGCCTCCCATTCATTATAATGGGAAATGACCACAGACAAGTGCGCACACCATCTTTGGACCTTGAGTGTGACGCGATCGGGAGGGGGAGGCGGTCGCGCTGGGGGCGGCGCGACGCGGCTCGGGCCCGACAGTGCCCCACCGGGGTCCTAGTTATTATTTTTCCTCCCCTTTGAACTGGAAAATGGCCCACTTCCCACTGGCGAAAACTCAGGAAATTTGGCAGGACGACCGGGCCTGGTGAAAAATTTGATATTCCGAAGTCGCCCAAACAAGAAAATGCAAAATGGCTCCATAGCGCCCCCTAAGGTGAAAATTCACACTATTGACTGTCACGCCTGTACGCTTTGTCAAAATGACACAAAAATTGACACACACATGTATCTCAATAAGATCTACAAAAAAGTCAGTGCGGGCGTATCTGTCAAATGTACGGTTTAAGGGTTATTTCGCATTTTTTGCCGATCCGCACACATTGGAATTTCGCTAACTCCTCCGAAGGCTTTCGTTCCACCAGCACCACATTTGCTCAGGCCAATCTACACCCCATGGCCATTAAAAGTTATTCAAATCATGACGCTGCACCCCACGGTTTAGGTTCTAGGGGGCGCCAAAGATAACCCTAAGATCCACATATTTAAAAGTCTTATAACTTTTTATTTTTGCCCTCACTGGCCTCCAAGTTTTCTAGGATGATGCAATGTCCAGCCATCAACACATTTGTGAAGGAATTTTTACTCCCCAAAAGAGCGCCCCCCAATGGCAGGAGAAAAAAGTCCATTTTTTCTTGTCCCCTAAGGTGAAAATACACATTGTTGAGTGTAACACCTGTACGCTTTGGCAAAATGACACAAAAATTGACACACACATGTATCTCAATAAGATCTACGAAAAAGTCAATGCGCGCGTATCTGTCAAATGTACGGTTAAAGGGTTATTCCGCATTTTTTGCCGATCCGCACACATTGGAATTTCGCTAACTCCTCCGAAGGCTTTCGTTCCACCGGCACCACATTTGCTCAGGCCAATCTACACCCCATGGCCATTAAAAGTTATTCAAATCATGACGCTGCACCCCACGGTTTAGGTTCTAGGGGGCGCCAAAGATAACCCTAAAATCCACATATTTAAAAGTCTTATAACTTTTTATTTTTGTCCTCACTGGCCTCCAAGTTTTCTAGGATGATGCAATGTCCAGCCATCAACACATTTGTGAAGGAATTTTTACTCCCCAAAAGAGCGCCCCCCCATGGCAGGAGAAAAAAGTCCATTTTTTCTTGTCCCCTAAGGTGGAAATTCACACTATTGACTGTCACGCCTGTACGCTTTATCATATTGACACAAAAATTGACACACATATGTATCTCAATAAGATCTACAAAAAAGTCAATGCGCGCGTATCTGTCAAATGTACGGTTAAAGGGCTATTTTGCATTTTTTGCCGATTCGCACACATTGGAATGTGGCTAACTCCTCCTAAGGCTTTCGTCCCACTGACACCAAATTTGCTCAGGCCAATCTACACCCCATGGCCATTCAAAGTTGTAAAAATCATGACGCTGCACCCCACGGTTTACGTTCTAGGGGGCGCCAAAGATGACCCAAAAATCCACATTCTTAAAGGAATCCACATCCCCCCCCAAGGCAGGAGAAAAAGTCAAGTTAACCCTGCCCATCGCTCAATGGCTCAATCGCATCGCTCTCCAGGCAACACCGTAAGGAGGAGCAACCTGCCATTTCGATATATCATAGCTGTGTTTGTGCCCTCACTCATGGTCCAGACTTTTTTCAAATAGGACATGAAGTTTGTCTGCAGCAAGTGTTTTGGTAGAAACTGCGCCTCCCATTCATTATAATGGGAAATGACCACAGACAAGTGCGCACACCATCTTTGGACCTTGAGTGTGACGCGATCGGGAGGGGGAGGCGGTCGCGCTAGGGGCGGCGCGACGCGGCTCGGGCCCGACAGTGCCCCACCGGGGCCCTAGTTGTCTTTGGTTTTTCATGAAGGTCAAATACAAAGATCTCTGGTTCCTGGAGGAGTCTGAAGTGGTCCTAAAAGCCACTTTCACTCTATTTCAAAGTGAAACCAGCTCCTGTTGCTGAAAGCATCTCCTCTAGCCAATCCCTCACTGCTCCTGCATGTCTATCTATTTGCATTCAAAAGTGTTTTTCTCGTTTCCCAGAGTCAAAGCTGAATGTGATCTCAGCGGGTGTGTGGGTGACCGTAGCAAAAAGCTACTGGGAGAGCTGCATTCACACAGGATAACATGATTGTTTTATTGGCTGATGGAAGCTGAGATCAGCCACCTCCACAGATTAATCTCAAAAACCTGACAGTGACGGGAGGCAAACAAAAACAGACACAGCTCCATCCTGTCTTCAAGAAAGGCCAATTGGCAGAGTGTCTGCATAATGAAGCAGAAGAATTACATGCCGTTAGAGACATGCTGCTCCTATTATTCAGAGATTACATATCACTGCAGCTCTGCTTTTCTGATTTGAAGTCTATAAACAGCGACAAGAAATGATGAGGAGCATCAGCAGGCATGTGATCCATGCCCAAACATCCAAAATACAACCAGTTATCAGTCAGGCTCCTTTAAGTTTTTAATTTATTTGGATATCCATTTGACTTCAAAAAGTTTCTTTTTCTCTCCAATTGTTGAAAGCATCCAATATCTGAGTGTTAAGCAGTCCTAAACATTTTTGTGTTAAATAATAGGAGTAAAAAAACAGTCGGCAGCAACAGAGCGTCTGCATTCTTTTGTTTCACAAGCAGGTTGGTGAAAGCAGGTAACCATCGTAACCATAGTAACAGGACATGCTGTTTCTGTCACTCTGAAATTTTTCTGGAACACTTTTGAACAGATCTGAAACAGCCTCCAGCAGACTTTCCAGTACCTCACCTTCTGCTCCTCTCATTGCTCTCCTCTTTCCAGCTCCTGTCCCTGCTCTTTACTCTCCTCCTCCAACTCCACTCCCTCCTCTTTTCTTTCCTCCTCCTGCTCCTCCTCCTGCTTCACTTCCTGCTCTTCTCTGTCCTCTCTCCTCCCCCTGCTCTCCTGTCTCCAACTCTTGCTCCTCTCTCTGTTGTCCTCTCTCCTTCTCCTGCTCCTCTCCCTGCTCTTCTCTCTCCTCAACTTGCTCCTCTCCCTGCTCCACTTCCTCCTCTTCTGTGTCCTCTTCCTGCTCCTCTCCCTGTTGTCCTCTCTCCTCCTCCTGCTCCTTTTCCTGCTCTTCTCTCTCCTTCTCTCTCCTCCTCCCTCTCCACTCTCTCCTCTTCTCTCTCCTCCTCCTGCTCCGCTCCCTGCTCTCCTGTCTCCTCTCCCTGCCCTTCTCTCTCCACCTGAGGCTGCCTGATGATTTGTACCATATAGGACAAAATTTGGATAATAGGAGTGTACATTACACTGATCGCCCCGCCCCAGTGTGAACGCCGGAATTCCCTGCCAGAGTTTGGCTCATTTGTCGTCAGCTCTGTTGCTCCGGTGCAAAAAAAAAAAAAAGTGAGTTTTTTTTTTCTAAAGCTCTGATCTGTTGCAGCGCTGACGGCAGCTCAAGCTTTAGCTTCATAAGTGACACTGAAGGAGATCTCGGGGGCAGATTGGTGCTCTAAACACTCAAAAACAAACACACTTCACTCCCTCTGATGCTGAAGGTGGAGATCGTGTGTGGCACAGACACTTTATCGAGAGCGAGAAGAGGAGGATGAGAGGGGAGGGAGATAAAAGGAAGGAGGAACATGAGGAGATGTGAGGAGGAGAGGCAGAGAGGAGCATGGGAAACCCTGATAAGCTTATCAGAATGAGACTCCATCTGCCCTCCTGCTGTACCCGTATCTGTCTTTCTCTCTGGTTCTCACTCCCCTTCAGAGCCAGCAGCAGGAGCTTCTTGTGCTGGCTGCCAAATGCCACCAGAGGGGGAGGCCTCCACTGGGAGATAAGCAGAAATCCTCCACCCTTAGCTAATGCTAGCTAGCTCAATTATGCGCCATCCATCCAACCACTCATCCATCCATCCTGTAAGACCCTTCAGAGTAACGCATTACTGTCAGAGCTCAAACTGAGTTTGATGAGTTTGGTCCTCTTTTATTTCTGAAAACAGTGGTTTTTAGTTTTCAAACTTTTGTCTGTGATGGAATCCAAAGTTTTAGACCAGCTGGAGGGTTTTAGATCTCAGGACAAAACTCTGTTGGAAGCACATTTTGAAGAGCATAACTGATGTCAACATCTACCAGTGAACCATAATCATGAGGGGTCTGAATAATCAGAACGTTAGACTCAAAGTTCTCCACATTTAGATTGTATTAAGGATATTTGCAGTAGTCAACCAGTCGTTTTAGTAGGCTGGGCGATATAGGGGAAAAAGTTTATCATGATATATTTTTTCGTATCAGTCAATATCGATAAATATCACGATATGTAAAAATCACCTGTTAATCTTGTATGTTCCCTGTTACTCTTAAATGAAATTTAAACGTTATCTTTTCAACATTTTGTCGTAAGCCATTGCGCTAGACAAAGCGGACTGAATGATCGGCTGTTTCGACTGCACAGGCATCGTACTTGCTCGTGCCAGTCTGGTCAAAGATATCATCATCTGTTGAGCCTTCATCTGCATTTCTGCCAGGGGTAGCACTCATTTTCTTTTTTTCTCATCGACAGTGCTGTCAGCTTCATGTGTTGCGTGCTATGGTTGCGTGTAGTTGTAGCCTGTTACTATGCAGTTGTTTGCTACTTGGTTCTCATTCAGCAGATGATTGGTTCAGCGCGGTGTGGACTCGAAGCAACTCCCCTTTTCATTGGCTATTCGTATACTCTACCCAAACATGGCAGAATGCCAGCTATCGAAAAGCATATTGACCATGTTATATATTGATAACAAGGAAAATTATTTTTTTTCCTTTTATCGCCCAGCCCTACATATTAGTTGTATACGTTTATTTCTTTAATCCAGGATTTCTAATTAAAACACACCCTGCTTCATTGTGAGTTTGAACAACAAGCTCATCAAACAAAACTCCATCACATCTCAGCAAACTTCAGTGTTACAAGCACCAGAGGACCCTTGGATTTATTTCCAACCCATCTCTGCTCCTGAGCTCCAGCTGGCTTCACTTTTATCGTTTCAGTGGAGCCGCAACCCTCTGTGGGTTTACGGGGCAGCTCCACCGAGGAGGCCGAGATCACGGCAAAGGAACAAAATTCAGAGGGACTTGTAAAAGGTCAATTTTCTTTCCAGATCAGCTGGTCGGCGGTTACTGTGACACACCAGAGGGAACATTGTGGGTCCCCAACCAGGATGCACATGTGCATCCATCCTCTACAACACCCTTAATAATGAACATCAGTCATAACACAAAAAAAGAGAGTCCAGAGAGCAGTAAAAGTAATACTGGCTTTACACCCAACAACTTTTCAAGCTGTTTTCTGTCGTAGAAAATCTTTTTACATCTCAATAACAATTATGAGACTCTGAACGAAAACCCTCATCCATGCAGATGATTTGGTGTAAAGTGGTCATAAAACTCATCCAAGCTGCCCTCAGTCAGTGTTTTTCAGCAGCTTCTCACAGCTTGATGGTGGAAAACACCCTCTAAGATGGACAAACTTTCCTCTCTATTGATTGTTTCTCCTATCCTCATTTCAGCCGTGATGATGCCGGCAGCAGCACCAATCTGATGTGAGAAAAGACGACTATCAACACCAGCCGCCGCACCAACAGAGAGAGACAGAGGGAGAGAGAGAGAGAGAGAGAGAGAGAGAGTGAGAGAGAGCTGTGTGTTCCACCTTTTTAAGGTGCTATGATTGTTTCCCTGAGAGGATGTGAGGCCAGATGGACTCTTATTATTATGTTCAGACACTTGGTATCTTTAAGCAGTAACATGTTCTATCATAATAATTTAATCTATACAATCTGCCAGGAGATAGGCCAATGAATAACTTAAATAGTTAGATATAAAACCAAAAAAAGTAGCTGTAAAATACATCAAAACCTTCTTTTTCTGATAGAAGCATTAGGGGGCCTGTGAACTGAGCCGCAGCTTACTTGAGCACAGATCCAGACTTCTCACTTCATGATGGCGATTAAAAATCTGCTCAGGTCATTAAAAACAGTAAAAACAATAATGATAGACTTCCTTTTCTGGGGGGAGTTTGATTCAGTGCTGAAAAAAGTGTCCTCTCTTTGTGTTTCTGCCAGGATTAATTGATTAAAGTTCAACAATCAAAATAATCGACAACTATTTTAGTAATCGACGTAATCGTTTTTCTTTAATTCCGCCTTGCCCTGGACAACACATGCGCAGTAGAGCTCATAGAAGTCGACATCTAACGTCTCTACAACTCAGTAACAATGGTGAGCAGGACGCATAGCTCCAGTGTTTGGGAGCATTTTACCAAAAAAAATGTAGAGGAGAAGTCCGTGAAATGCAAGATCTGCAAGGTAGAGCTTGCTTATCACGGCAGCACGACTAGCACTTAAAAAGAAAACACGTTGGGTTGGCTAATGAAAAGGACGCCGGAGAAGGACCGTTGCCTCGATAAGCTAGTTGGCTTATCAGCTGCTAATACAATTACCGTCAACATTTTTAAGCAAGATAGCTTAAGCTTTACGTGTAAATGTTAATAGTAAGGCTGACGATTTGAAGATTTCATTTACCTTAAAACTTCTGTGTTTGTAGTAACGATATAAAAACGATGTCATATTCATGTTTGATGGAATGTAATCAGACGCTAATAGTTACGCTCTTCTGTTACAGTGCAAGTAAAGAGCATTCCACCACTACGATCCGATTAATCACAAAAAGTATCATAGTCAGATTATCATTTAATCATTTGTGGCAGCACTAGTTTAAAAGCCAAATCAGATTAAAATGAGGAGAGTCTGAAACAGCCCATCATGCAAATTGCTGATCTGTAACGTAGTTGCTATTTTCATTTTCCAACTTTAGTTTTTCATCAGGGGCCCATTAAGAAAAGAAGGAACCCTGAAGCACAAACACACACAGAGCTGATGTTGTTAATGGTTCCAGGTAACCTCACCTCTGAATAATGAATTAATCGCAGACATCCATCAAATACAGGTTGACTGCTTCACACGCAGAAACACACACACCAATGAAAGCTGTTTTCAAAGTACACAGACCTTCAAAATAAAAGCAACAGAAAAACAAACCTCACCTCAACCCCATCAGGAAAACAAAATAAACGAAGTAGCTAACGCCTTTCGAACCTTTGTGACACCGTGAAACAACATAATGGCGTTCCCCTAAATATCACCAAAAAGTTCAGGAGTAGAACCCCTCAGTAAAAAAGTTCACTCCAGGACTCAATTTGAGGATCATTGCAAGAAACGCTTTGCTTGCAATTCTCATGCAGAAGAAGAAAAACTGCAAAAATTCACTTCATGAAATGTTCTCTAAGTAATTCTTCCTTTTTAACGATGTTTCTGTGCCAAACTCTCTCCATGTCTCTGCAGCCTATCTGCTCCATCAGTGAGTTTTTTCCCTGATTACTTTCCTCTGACCCCTTTGAGTGCCGGACAGTTTTGTTGAACTGAAGGACGGTGAGCCCAGAGCCTTCAGGGACGAAACGAGAGAAAACTAAAGAGAGCAGGAAACGGAAGAAGTAGATAAAGAAAGGGAGGCAGACAGAGGGAAGAACAAAAGAAAGACAAACGGCTGAGCTGTGTCGGTTTAATTGCAGGCTGTATTAGAGCGGGCTGCAGGAACACAGAGGGAGATAAACACAGAGGGCAATTTGTTCTGGTGTTGTATCACCGCTGCTGCAGGTCAGAAAGCAGAGAGGAGCTCCTCACCTTCCCCTCAGGCTGCTGCAGTAAAACACACGTCAACTGTGCTGCTAACACCAATCTGCTCTCTGCAAACTCTCTGCTGTCTCTGTTTGTTCTTAGAAAGGTGTAATCATAGCTGCTTCATCGTCTTCACGCTTCGAAACTATGGTAAACTGTGCAAAAGGACTGATCTTAAGTGCATCTACAGCAGCTCAAAACTGTAAATCTTTGACTAAAGTTTGACTCTGTGGGAGTTTCAGTGATCTGCCTGCAGGTTAATGCGTCAGATCAGATGTAAACATGGAGATAAACAGCTATAACTGCTTCACATGGACAGTCTGTCCACAGTGATTGTTTCTTTATGGACGTCAGAGCTCAGTAAATCATTTAGCAGAGCTCCAGAGCTTCACTGCGCGGCTTATCTGATCCGTCTCTCTGCAACAAAACATAACAAACACTTCACCTGCAAACCTGCGATTCAATTACTACAACCAATCCTTACTTTTATAGCCCAGATGTTCCTGCTCTAGATAAGGTTTTCACTGTTTCATGGTGATGAAATATTAGAGACTGTGAACATTTATAAATAGAGGGTGTCTGTTTTTTATCTTGTACAAAGAGAGGGACATTTTTAAACAGTAGGCTGATCTGTACATACTGATTCTATAATGGTGTGTTATGATGTTGGCGGTCCAAATTTAACCTCTGCAAACTACCCCTGAAGTGCTTTGGCCCTAAAGATCTCGCCTTGATAAGTCGATAAGGACACATCCACCCGTCAAGGACAAACTCTTTCAATTTTTCCCTCGCCCGGAAAGTTTATTTCCCTGCTCGGCTTCCCTCCTCTCTGCTCTCTGTTGCTTCTGTCTTACTCTAACGTTTCTCTAAGTCGTCTCAGCTGTATTCTCTCTCCCAAAGACGGAGGCTCCACAAAACAGCGGGAAGTTTGGATGTTTTAGGACATCATGTTAGTGCTCACCGCTTCACTGTGGACTCCTTTGTAAACAAAGACCAGTACGAGCTGGATGACGAGATGAAAGCAGGGCGTCTTCAGGTCATGTGACTGATATCACACTTCCTGCTGTGTGACTACTACAATATATTGTTCAGCCCTAATACATCAGGGACTGAGCTTGGGAGATGGCCTTAGATGTTTTCTCCAAAGGCATAACTTTTGGGTTGTTTCATGGCTACAAAGCTGTGTAAAAAATAGCATCCGACAAGCTCTATCTACATTTATATCAGTGGAAAAGCCACCAAACTGAAGTGAATCAGGCAGAGACCAAATACAGCTGAAATAAGGGTTTTCACAGACATCACCACAAGATAAATAATAAGTTGGGTTTTTTTGAGCCGCAAGTGGGTCCCAGACTGATTAAAACGTCAAGGGAAAATGAGTGAAACCTATCAAAACAGGTGTCATCAGCAAAGCGTAGGTCAACATATTGGCTTTTTCTAAAGCTTTTTCTAACCAAAATCTGTTAAAGCTGGATTTTTGGTTTGATCTGTATTCATATCTGTGCCTCAGAAATGTTGGTCAATCTGAGTTAGGGCTGGGCGATAAACCAAAAATTTACAGATACCAAAATTTACGACAATAACCAATGTCTTTTTGCCCATATCAGTATATACAGTGTCAAAAAAAATAAATGAATAAAAGTTGGTTTTGGATGTGTGTAGGTAGGCTATGGTCTCATGTCCCTTTCAGACGCTGTTCTACATCAGAGACGTGACTCCACCCCATCCAGTCTGTAGCAAAGAGGGAAAAACAGGTGAGGAGATGGAGGACGGTTCAAAAGTTAGAGCGGCGACTGAAGTAGACGTAGTTAATGTGGGAGGGGGTCAGCAGCTTGTGGAGTAGTTATCGTCCATTTATAGTAATCAAGGTGAACTGCTCAATATAAGGTGATATTGATTTAAGGCCATATTGCCCAGCCCTAATCTGAGTGAACTAAAGACTTTACTGATTTAGTGTGATTATCAACACTAAAAGACTAACATTAGGTGTGACACGCATATGACTTTAGTTCACCAGGTAGTAGTAACTCCATGTAAACTGTGCCTTATTCTACCTGTTACTGATGCTGTTACTCTTTGACAGCTTCCCATCTGATCAAACTGTAATAGTCCAAAAGAAACTGCTTTTATAATATGATGCAATAATTAACAAAGGCTCTGAAACAGTATTTGCCTCCTTGTAACATTATAAAGCTTTAAAAACGTGCAGATTTGGCACAGTAAAGTCTCTGACACGGGTAACAGTTTCTGTGTATGAAAATGAAAATGAAATCTTACAGGTCACTCTGTTGAACCCTGAGTAACTCCCTGAGCAACAGGAGCTTAACCTCCTGCTTCCCAAATCTCATCCCACCACATTTCCGCTCGCTCTCTCAAACCAATTAACCAAAGTCATTAGCTGACTTGTTAAAGCACGCCTCAAAAACTGGTCCTGAGCTGAAGACAGCTGCAGCAGAGTTTGGACTCCAGCCGGATTGCAATCTGAGCAGCATCAGCAGCTCGACTCCACCCCTCTGATGGAGTTATCATGGTCCGCTCCCACACAGACGGAGGAGATAATCCCAGAGCTCCCCCGGGTACAAAGTGATTGACTTCATTGTGTTTGAATGGAGCTCATTTCTGGACCTCACTTCCTCGATAGAGCGAGAGGGGAGGAGAGAGAGGAAGGGAGGGGAGGAGAGGAGAGGAAATGAGAGGATAAGAGAGGAGAGGAGAGGAGACAAGAGAGGGAGAGGAGAAAAGACAAGAGAAAGAGAGGAAAGGAAACGGAGAGAAAAGGAGAGGAGAGCAGAGGAAACAAGCGAAGGAGAGGAAAAAAGGCAAGAGAAAGAGAGGAGAGGTAACAGAGAGAGAAGAAGAGAGGAGAGGAGGGAAAACAAGAGAAGGAGAGGGGAAGACATTGGGGGAGGAGATGAGAGAAAGAGAGGAAAGGAAACGAGAGAAGGAGAGGAGAGGAGAGCAGAGGAAATGAGAGAAGGAGAGGAGAGCAGAGGAGAGGAGAGGAAATGACAGAAGGAGAGGTGGGGAGAGGAGAGGAAACAGGGAAAGTAGAGAAAAAATGGGAAAAGAGGAGGAGAGCAGATGAAACAAGACAAGGAGAGGAGAAGGGAGGAGATGAGAGGAAACAAGGGAAGGAGAGAAGAGGAAATGGGTAAAGGAGATGAGAGAAAGAGAGGAGAGGAAACAGAGAGAGAAGAAGAGAGGAGAGGAGAGGAAACAAGAGAAGGAGAGGAGAGGAAATTGGGGGGAGGAGATGAGAGAAAGAGAGGAAAGGAAACGAGAAGGAGAGGAGATGTGAGGAGAGGAGGGAAAATGAGAGAAGGAGAGGTGGGAGGAGGAGAGGAAATGAGTAAACAAGAGGAGAGAAAAGGAGAAAAGGTGAGGAGAGGAGAGCAGAGGGAGAGGAGAGGAGAGGAAATGACAGAAGGAGAGGTGGGTAGAGGAGAGGAAACAAGAGGAGAAACTAGGAAACTAGAGGAGAAAAAAGGAGAAAAGGTGAGGAGAGGAGAGCAGAGGAAATGAAAGAAGGAGAGGTGGGGAGAGGAGAGGAAACAGGGAAAGTAGAGAAAAAATGGGAAAAGAGGAGGAGAGCAGATGAAACAAGACAAGGAGAGGAGAAGGGAGGAGATGAGAGGAAACAAGGGAAGGAGAGAAGAGGAAATGGGTAAAGGAGATGAGAGAAAGAGAGGAGAGGAAACGAGAAGGAGAGGAGATGAGAGCAGAGGAGAGGAAAGGAGAGAAGGAGAGGTGGGGAGAGGAGAGGAAACTAGAGGAAACAAGAGCAGAGAAAAGGAGAAAAGGAGAGGAGAGCAGAGGAAATGAGGGAAGGAGAGCAGTGGAAATGAGATGAGAGGAAAAAGAAAAGAGGAAACAAGACAAGGAGAGGAGAGGGGAGGAGAGGAAACGAGAGAAGGAGAGAAGATAAAACAAGAGAAGGAGAGGAGAGGACACGGGGAAAGGAAAGGAGAGGAAACTAGGAGAGGAGAGAAAAGGAGAGAAGGAGAGAAGAGGGGCTGTTGTTTTTTTGTTCCTACCTGTGTAACTCAGGTTTTTTTAATATTTGGAGTCTTTTCGAGTGTTTCTCCTGTTCAGACTCAGAGTCTCTAAACATCCGTTTTATAATCAGTAATGTTACTAACAACTTTTCACCTGTTTGGTTGGCCCTGTACAAACTTTTTGAAAACAAATGTAAAATGATCAAACATTTTTATTAATTTGATTTGATGCATTATCTGTCTCTCTCAGTCTGTCCTATCAAATAAAAGGCACACAGCTCATACAAATAAACCATGTGATATGTCATGTTTGCACAACATAGACACATAATTCAGTGTATCAAATCCAGATTCTGTTCGAAGCACATCTCTAACAAAATACTGTGTGATAATCTCTAAACTAACTGTAATTCAATTTAGAAAACACAGAAACATACAGACATAAAACTGCATCACAATGTGTTTCAGTTTTTGACCTAAAGCCGAATTTTGAGCAGCTGCATCTTTACAGCCTGAAGGAAAGTCCTAAAAGTGTGATGAGGAATGAAACGCTGCAGAGTCCCACCACGATTAAACAGCTACAGCACCATCTAGTGACATATAACTTAAGTGCAGAGTACAGAGGCTAAAACTGTCTGTTCAAATGTGACCAAACAGCATCATAGTAAAAACGTATCTGTTGTCCGGTCGCACAGATCTTTTCCCCTAAGCGTGTGTGAACAGTTTTCCCAGTGATAGACCTAAACAAACGTTAATTCATCTGGACTTTGATTAAATCTGAGAAAATTCACTCCTAACTCCAACAGTGCAACAGAGTGCAGAAATTATGTTGGTCAAAATCATCCCAAAATGATCCTTTTTCAACCTCTGAACCTTCGTGTGCAGACTCACCTGAGGCTGAAGCAAAGCATCCTGGGATGTGAGGCGACCAGATGGTGCTGTAGATGACCCCTTCATGACCCCTTAGAGTGGTCAGGGATTGGCTGAGAGCAGGGTCCCACTGTGGAGGGAAAAACATACAAACTTAATATATCAAAAGCATTCAATAATCAAAGGACACAACGTGGAAAAGAAGAGGAAATAAAAAAACGCACAACTTTAGCAGTTTGATCCCACGATCCGGAGACAATGAGGTTTTCTCCTCTAGTTTGACTCCAGTCCACAGCGTACACCTGCACACACAGGTGCAAGTGTCAGTTAAAGCTAGATCCATCCTGTGTATGAGCATGTGTGTGCGTGTGTGTGTGTGTATTTCTCACCTCTTGTGTGTGTTCTTTGGCGACTCTTAGAGGGGCGTTGGGATTGGCTGTGTCCCACAGCTGCAGGCTGCCGTCCCCACCCCCAGCAACCATGATGTGTTCATTTGTTTCACTCCAGGTAACATCAAACAGGCCATCACTCCACTCCCAGCTAACACACACACATACACAGACACAGACATGAAATGCAGCAAGAAAAAAAACCTGTTAAAGCTTTAAAATCTGTAGAAGAGTTAAACTAGCTTTACGTTACAAACAGAAATGGAGCTAAAAAAAAAAAAAAAGACACCTCAGAGCAAAAAATACACAGTAAGCTTAAAATTTAGGCTTTGTGAAAAGTGTGTCCCCTCCTTGAAAGACATAAAAATAATAGGTTATTAAAAAATAAATAAGAAAAATATAAATAAACTAGGTTATAGAGAGAGAGAAAAACTGCAATAAAGAAATATTTAAGAGAAAAAGAAACTTTACCTTCTCACTAAAGCGACTCCTGTTTCAGTCTCATCCAGAACCAGCAAAGTGCCACAACCTAAAAAGCATATTTTGGGGGTTAATTTCAAGAACTTTTGAAGCTCTAACTTAAAACATGAATGAACAGTTTGGTAATTTAAAAATATACTGAAACAGTCTCTAACTCTGTTACTCTGCAAAAGGACATGCTCTACTCCTCCACAAACTTACTTATTTCATGGCTCAGTTTTTGTACATTTCCATTACCTCTGCAACAGATTCCATTTCCACACTAAAGCTGCATGTTTGTTAGACCATAAACTCAGCAGTGTTTCTAGTAATTCAGCCAGTTTATGGTGTTTAAGACCTGCAGAGTCTGGGATTTGGTCATGATGATAAACGCTAGTGCTGGATTCAGATCAACCTAAAAATGCAGCAAACTCTGCAGATGTCTTTGAGGGTTTAATGAACAGAAACACCAAAAAACCTTGAGATTTACTTCAACACTAATTAACCCTCATGTTCTATAAGAGCATCTACATCCATCCACTTATTTTAGATTGAAGCTCTAATTCCTGTTGAGGCGTATGAACCACCATAACTGTGCTGCACTAACCAGCTATGCCGTAGTACTGGGAGGACACACAGGCCACTCTGTTCGGTAGAAACGGAGACACTTCCACAGCATAACCGTGACGGGCTGGACTGCGAAACACCTTCGCCGTCATCATCAGCGACCTGCAGCCCGACCGGGCCCTCTGCTGGAAATTAAAATAGAAAAACACACAGAGTTACAACTCCTAAAAATATATGCTGCTTTTTTGTACGAAAAAAATAGAAAAGTGAAAGCAAAATCATCAAACAATCACTTTAAATATTTTCATTAATGTTGTTTTAGGGCAAGGGTGGACCCCTAAAAACATGAAAAACCATGAGAGCCACACTGGAGGAACAAGAATATTCCATATCATTCATTTAATTTTAGTGATTTTATATCTAAAAATCCTAAAGCTTCAGTGAAAAACTTTCTCTTCCTGCTGATTTCCTGCCCACAATTGCAAGTACATCTTACTGCTCTTAAGTTAGCAACATACTTTCTGACAACCACCTCAAAACTGAGGGGACTGAACTGGGTCAGGGTTCGAGTATAAAGGTGACAGCAGAGATAACCCTAGTTTACTTTGTTAATGTATGAGATAACTCATATGCACAAATACTGAAAAATAAAACCAGACTGGAAAAAGATGTTTAAATTTCAACTTGAACCTGATCATAAATGTGTTCAGGTGATTTAAAGCTCTTTTGTAGATTTCAGCTTTAAAAATCATGTTTAAATCACAGTAATGAGCTCCTTGTGCTGAATAATGTGAGCTTTGAGGTAAATTTCTTCTTTTTTAAACCCATCAAGGACTTTTAAAAAACTACCGGGGGTAAACTGTAGCTCCTGAAACCATAGATCATGTCTGTGTACCCTGAAAGGTAATATTTAACCCAGGAAATGCTTCAACATCAGTAATTCTGCCATTTTTTTAATCATAAACCAACAAAATATTATTAAAACTAAATAAACGGTACTCACAGTTACAGCGGAACCACTTTCAAACCGTAAAGTCACGCCGTTAAGTTTAAAAAACGGAGGATTCCTCAAAAATCTACGAAAAGACACATATTTACTGTTCGGGGAGTCTCCTCCTGCTCAGGTCCACTGAAAAGTTTAAATCTGCACAGCACTTCCGTGTTTTGATCAGCTGACCAAAGTGCCCGGATGGCCGCCGTCCGTAATGTAAATTTCGTTTCAGTGTTTTTCGAAAAGGGGAGGTGCCAACATTTTCGCCGCTTTTATTTTTGATCAAAACAAATATTTCAATTAAAAAATGTAACATTTCTTCAGTTATAAATATTTTTAATTTATTATTTTTTTCTTTTCTTTTCCAAATTCATGATTTTGCACCGAAAAAGAACATTTTGATCAGCATCACAACATTGTAATTTATCAAATGACTAATACAAAGTGGAAAAATTAGATCAAAATAGGACCAAAAATGATGTACAGGTAACCCCAAAAATGAGAGTATCATGATTCATAAGTGAATCAAAAAATCTTAAGATGTCATAGCTTCTGTTTAGTGAAATAATCAGTCTATCTTTGGTCTTAATTTTTACAATTTTGACATAGAGTTAAATAAAATCACAATTCCAGGGTCTCAAATGATACTTCTTCCTGATTTTACAGAGACTTCTGAAGAGTCTATTCATTTACACCCTAACTACTTTACTGTTAACTCCACAGCAAGATTACTGGGATAAGGATATTATATTCATTCCCTCCTCTCCTCTCAAGGCCAGAATAAGGGCCACAGGTCACTATTTAACATTTGCAATTGTTTTACATGCCTTGAATTTATTCAACTGTATTGCTTGTGGTGCAGTGTCATTTATTGTGTGAAAATGGTGTTTATTTCTTTGGACTCAGAGATCAGACTCTTGGGTGTTGAGCATGTTTACAAAATTGTTTATTTATGCACTCTGTCCCTGTAAAATGAAAAGCTACGAAACAATCCACCAGTTAAACAGACAATTTATAATGTTAGCTTCAATGAGTGACTTCTTAGCAGTATGTAGTTGAATATATTCTTACTGAGTATTACTTTAAAAAAAGGACAGTAAAGATGTTTTCACTTTATTAAGTTTATATATAAAAACAAAAGAGAATTTTTTTGAAAAAAGCACAAAAAAGGAGGGAAAACAGCCAACGGTTTGATAAAAAAAAGAACATTAATGAAGTCTCTACAGAATGGTGCAGTTATAGTAAAGATCATTGTAAACAGTATTTATATGTGACAGGCCTTGTACACACGTAGACGTTTGGGAATTTAAAACTCTGGTTATCTATGTCCACACACAAACGCAGTAATAATAATCCTGCGGTTTTGTGTGGATGGCAGGCCAAAACGTATGAAAATATATTCGTTTTAGCAAATACCCAGCTACATGTGGACAAGGCCACAGTTTGACATTAGTGTTTGTGAAATATCAGGAAAAGTTTGTGGCTCCAAACTCGGCTTCATGCACAATCTGCTGAATCTTTGTCCGGAGCCAAGACTGTTTCTCAGCAGAAAGCCTCCTCATGGCAGGTGCCAGGCTGAGTAAATACAGCGTCACATCGTCTCTCTTGTCCACATCCCGCTCCTTCTGAGCCTCGCGGGTCTCCTTCCTCCTCAGGAACTCCTCCAACAGGCCCTCAGTGTTCCTCCTCCAGACTCGGGTTGGCCTGGGAGACGTGGTGTGAAACTCTTCCTCTCCATCAGCTTGGTCTAAAAGTTCTGCGTCAATGACCTCCTGCTCCTCTGTCTTCAGCTGGTTCATCCTGGACTGCCAGAGGCTGCGGTGTGTCTGCTGCTCCGGGGAAGGAGGCATCAGCTGATCAGAGAGCTGCGAGGAGGACTGTGAAGACGCTAAGGATGCTGCCAAAGATGTGACGGACTGCATGATGGTCTCAAACAGCTCCCTTACATTCCCCTGCTGGACGTGTTGAGTTTGAACACCATCATCCGTAGCTGCGGTCTCTGAAATCATCTCAATCTTTGCCTCTTTGAGTCTGATGACGTCTGTGTTGGCAGACGACGGTCGCTTTCTCTGAACAAACTCTGAGGAGGAGGATGAAGATGTTGTTGTTGTAGCATCTGCAACAGCGATGGCTACAGAGAAAGACATGTTTATGTTACATTTTTATATAGAAAACAAGTTTTTTTTTTAATTGAAAAGATTCAAACATGAAAAAACTGATAAAAAAACATCTCACAAAGGGAGTTAAAGATGTGCACTATCTTGTTATAGTAGGCAGAGTGATTTACAGTCTGAAGGCTTCATCTTTCTTCTCAAAAATCTACAAAAACCAGTAATGACAGAGTAATGACAGACGCAGGTTGTCTGAGTAATAGCTCAGGGATATCTCTCTAGAAACAGAAGAACCTTCCAGAAGGTCAACCCTACTAATAAACTTTATGGTAAAGTGGCCACACAAATCAGCTCCTCACTAAAAGGCTAGTGCAGACCAGTTAAACTCTCAAACTCTCCTTAATCTTTCCATCTTTGTCTACAAACCGAAATTATCGTCGTCGTCACTCCGTGTTTCCGTCGTTGTGCTGCATCCGACCATCTCAGATGGCTGTAAGTAAGGAGGCTGAGGGTCCAGGGCCCAGCCATTGGTTCCTGCAGCTCGGGCATCAATAAACGGGTTTAAGAAGGACAGGATGGCTGAGTATCTCCATGGTCTGTAGTTCATGAGCCCAATGCCGCTCTCTCGACGGTCCTTCTCCCGCTGCCTTTCCCTTCGGTGTTGGTCTCTAAGCATCTTCCACTTCCTCCTGCACTCAGACTCTGACAAGATATACATGTTGATATTAACAAATGAATGCCAAAACCTGTTGTACACACATTCACTGAATGACAGCATAATTCTGTGTATCTTCAATGTTATACAAATCCTCCAAGTTTTGATAACACACAACACAGTTTTAGCTTGTGAGGTCTGGTTTGATTATTTCAGTTAATAAAAATGTAAGAGAACCAGACTACAGAGTCCAGAGCTCAACTCCCCCCCGACCCCCACTGACTCTGCCCGCCCACAAACACACCAACCTCAGGACTGCACACTTTTAATTTATCCCTTATCATTGCACCATTTCCACTACTGTATTACATTTATTTGCACTACTACTTCCACATTGCCATATTTGCACGATTGCGCCCACTTCAGGACTGCCATGCTGTTTAAATTCACTTTCTTCTACTCACCTTCTTCCTTATATTTAAACTGTTACACTTTTTTCCTTCATGCTGTTTGTATTGTTAAATTGAGCATATTTAAGGTGGTCTTTTGTTTAGCTTAGTTATTTATTTCATATTTATCCTTTAGTTTTATTCTTATAGTTAATTCTTATGCACCGTGGGTCTGAGAGGACTGAATTTTCATCTGTCCTGTATGTTTAACATGTATAGCATATTTGACTTTGACTTTTCACCATGTCTACATAATACCAATTGAATAATGTTCGCTGTAAAGTTTACTCCCGTTTGTGAATTTTGTGGATAAGCTCCGGTGGAGTTTCTTGTGTATTGTTTTGCTTCTTGACTCTGAATTTACACAAATTTGTTAGTGGTTCCTGCAGATTTACTATTCATCGTCAAGGGGGAACCATGGACGCTTGGATACGCGTAACTCGAATACGGAAGACAATAAGGGACGGACTCGCTTTGTTTTGATCTTCAGAAGGAGGTATCATTTCATAAATCCAGTATTGTGGTGTTTTCTGATGGTCTATCTGCATTCCGGGTTAAATAATCCCGCTTTTGGAGATAAAACTGTTCATCAGATTGTTTATAGAGTAGCGAAGACTCTTACCAGGGACCCCGACCATCGCTGAGACCTGCTTCCAGGAGTCGCTCCTCATGTTCAGGTCTCTGTAGGTCACACAGCTCGGGTCGTAGAGACTCGGGAACCCGGAGACCGCCATTATCAATTTATATTCCATTTTCGTCAAAACTCCAGAGTCTGTCTTTTTTCTCTAAGGCGAGGGGAGGATGAAAAGTTGGGCTGGAAAAAACACAGGAGTGATTCTGCTTCCGGTGCGTCACTCGATGAATGTGATTGGTTTTCCGTTCGTAAACGTCATCACTGCTGGTGATTATGCAGTTTTTCGGGTTTTCAAGTTAGAAACAAAGTTGGAAAATAATTCATATGAACTGATTAAAAAGAGAAGAAGTTGTTTAAACATGTTGATTAAATTTTTACTTTTTGTAACTTTTTCCTATATTTTTAATTTTTTCCTTTTTTTCAGTGCAACTTTTTGTAGTGATGGGCACGGCAGTTCTTTTAGATGTACTGAATCACTAGAATCAGTTCACTGAAAGATTCGTTCAAAAGATTCGTTCACCAAATGATTCAGCACTTGGCAGGAGAAGCCTGCGACCCCGACCTCCTGAACTGATACACAGCGGCTTAGGATTCAGTTCAATTCAGAGCTTCTGGGTCTGGGAGATGAGAGTATTTAGCTGTGTTGCTTTGGCAAACAGGTTTGTAAAAAATAAATTTGTTTATAAGTCATGATGTTTTAAGTGTACTGTCTTATGGTATGCTATTTATCAGGTCTGCTCGGTAAATTGGGCTCAGTGAGAGTGATTCGTTCACTGAACGTTTAGAAGTATTCACACTGAACATGCACCGTTCCCTCGCAAACTGCTGCAATGATAGGATGCTGCAGTTTTTATGCACTACTTGTTACATGTTGTGTCCTATTGTATGCAAGTTGTTGTGGTGGCAAAGTTAGTTTTGCCTGAAAAAATGATTCCACAGAGTGTAGTTCAATGCGTGATTTGTTTATTGAGTGGTTCAGGCGACAGTGCATGCAGTCCCTTGTTCCCTGGCTGTTTGCCTGGCAATGCTGCGTGCCATACCAGCTGCGCTGCTGACAGCTCAACTGAAGTGAAAAATAAACAAATCACTTGAGGAAAGCATTCTGTTCAGTACGTTCACTTAGAAGATCCGGTTCTTTTGAACAAATCATTTGTAAACGACAAAACACTTTTTGTAGAAAATCTTGAATATTAGATTATTTGTATAAAAAACTGGATACATATTAAAGATTAAAGTGTTTTTACTTATTTTAAATGTAAAGACAAAAACCTGTCTATCATTATCTTTTCTTGTATTGAGCAAAAATTCTCAAGTTTTTATCCTTAATAGGATTTTTGGACTGATTTAAAAGCTATAAGTCTCAATAGTTTCGGATTTTCTTTTTTTAATTTTTTTTTTATTAGTCTGTCAAAGTATTTTTCTCTTCCTAAGCTCATCTTTTCTAAACGTCTTCTAACCTATTCCTTATATCTTAAATTTCATACAATTTTCACTATGTCCGACTGCAAGTTTCTATATTTTAAAATTAAACAAAAAAAACTTTAATTTCATTTGTCAGAAAATACTTTATTACTTTAAAAAGTCAGTGTTCACATGGAGTTTTTAATTATATATTTTTCTACCATAAACAATAATTTTAAGATCAACTGGATCAAAAGATTTCCTTAAAACCAACAATTTCTTTATTTTTTTCAAATACAGAGGCCTTGAATTCGTTCAAATTCCTCCAAAAATCCTGAAATTTCAAAATCAAATGCTTCTTTCTTGGTCTTCAGTTTATAAACATTCAAACATCTTTGTTATTGTTACATGTTCTCCTGTTAGTTTGGGCATTTTTCAATAAACTCTTAAAAGATTCATTCAGATCTCCACAGATCACACCCCTATGATTGATACTTAAAATCACAAAACACACATTTAAAAGCTCTTAATCACAAATAAAGCTGTTTGTGGAGATGGTTGCAATCCTCTAAAGCTGCCTGTAGAAGGCGTCATGTAATCACAGAAACAGCTTCACAATACTCCAAACTCCTGAAATGTTCCAACATCTCTCCTGAATACCATGGAATATGATGAGGATCTGATAATTGTTTAAAATACTGCGCAAAAAAATACAAAGATATTCAATACAAATGATCATGGCTTGCAGTAAAGAAAACAGAATTTTTGTTGTATTTTCTTATCATCTATTGACCTGTTTTGGACAATTAAGACAGAAATCTCCCAGCAGCTATAGGCTGGTCTCACGACTGATTTACCAACAAAGATGTCAGACACAGATGCATCTCAGAGAAATGCATGCATGCAAAATACATACCTGTCATAAGTTACATGCATGTAGAGCAAAAACAATGAACTTATGTCAACTAGGGTGCAGAGTATGGACTTTTTTTCCAGATCAGAGGCTCATTTACCCCTCTATGACGAGTTAAAGCGCAAATATACATCTGTGTTAATGCACAGACACAAAGACAAAAACAGCAAGTTGGGTAAATCCCCCGATCATTTCCCAGACTGTTTGCTAGACTAAATTGAGAAACAGGACGTCAAAGGTCAATCTGTCTAATAATAGATACCTTAGAGGTCAAAGAACTGAGCAGAGCACCAACAGCAGATCTTAAAAATCCACCAAGAAGACACCCCAGCTCCCATCAGCTCTGGTCTGAGGAGGAGTTCTGTCTCTGTATGAACAGATATCAGCATGAAGTTCAGCTAACAATCAGACATTTATACTAAAACGTGAATCTGAGTGATGCTGATTCACTGACAACAATCAGTGCTTAATTTCCTGACTTCCCTGAATGCATTAGAAATGATGACTAAATACAGTGAAACTTAGACCAACTACAAATAACAATAACTTGCCTTATTCATGGGAGGCAAGTAAATTACAATGAAACTGGATTATTTTTCTGATTCAAACTTGTTAGGAAAGCCAGAGTGAAGCCTCTGTGTAACTTTTAGTTTTTACAATGAAACTGAGACCTTCAAAAACAGATGTTTCATCTCTATTCATGTTCCTGAGCAGATGACAGGAAAACTGTCACTCATTAAGGGTGACTTATCTGGGAAACTCGAGTGAGGAGTCCATGTAACTTGCTGTTTACAGTGAAACTGAGACTCAGAAGTAACAAATGATTAAGCACCATTCAGAAGATGGATGTGAATGAAAATAAAATAGATTTCTTTTCATCTTTTCAGATTTGCATCTCTAGAGTAAACCAGAGTGGAGTCTCTAGTGAACCTACTATTTACAATGAAACTGAGACTCCACAGAAAAGCGGGCTTAGGACTGTCCATGGGATGGTAGCTCTTCTCCTCAATCTTGTTTCCTCTCCCTCTTTCCCTCCATCTTCCCTTTTTTCTCTTGTTATGCAACAGTCAGTGAGACAGAGGCCGATCAGCAGACAGAAGCCACCATGTGTGTATGTGTGTGTGTGAGAGAGAGACAGAGAGAGAGAGGAAGAGAGAGAGAGAGCCCCGGGGTGTTGGCAGTGTCTTGGGAATGGGGCGTTCAGGACGTGGGAGCAGACGTATGAACACACACCGCACACACGGACACACACACAGTCCCAGACGAGGCTGAGAAATGGGTCACTGTTGGCCAGAAGAGATAAAATTACACACACACACACACACACACACATAGTATCCTCATCATTCCTTCTGAATTGCAGTAAATTCCTCCTTAATCTCACTAACTTCATGTTATTTTGGCCACATGAACCACAGTTAATAATCTGATTTTAAAGCTTTTGTCAGGAGTTTTATCTGGTAATGAAACAGACTGACTGGTTGTTTCTGTATACTTATTTTAATGCCTAAATTAACACCTACTGAAAATCAGCACAGAAAGAAGAGGCATCATTTTGTCCACAGGGGGCGCCAAAATCAACACAAGCACTTTAAAAAACATTATTGTACCTTTTCTGGATATCACTCTGACTTTGCATCCATGAGTGGGTCAAAAGTTACAGAGGGGATCTTTCTCTGTAGACACAGATCAGAGCTGCTGATTGGTCAGGACTGTCTTTGATCCAGGAGAGAAATGAGGCTGAAACTTAAACTGATCTCAGATCAGCTTCATTGAGCAGAGAAAAGGACTGAGAGGCTGTTACATAATCAAGACTTCAGTATTAATCACACAGAGGACTTCAAAGAGGAACCAGAGCACATTTATACAGCCAGAAACACATGATACACATGTGACACACACACATCTTCATCACTGTCCCATACAGATTAGCTGAAGGTAACCTCAGGTATGCTGAGAATGTGACAGGTGACAGTTTACAGTCGACATGTCAGTGAGTGTGCGATCAGAGGAGATGTGTGTGAGTGACTTCAGTCAGGGACTCAGGTTGGACTAAAGCAGCTGATGGGAATGATTATGGTAGAAAGGTTTCCTCTATTCAATAAAGAAATTCAGCTTGTAGGAAGAAGAGTGACTCTAGCTGCAAGTGAACTAGACCCAGAATCTTTATGTTTGTCTGTGTGGAGAAGTAGATGAGTTTGTAAGTTCAAAGGAGGGAAACTAAGGAAGTCACTGCGCTCTCTCTACCTGAGAATTCAGATTCATCAAAATGGCCATAAATTACAACCTCCTGCGCCTAAAGAGTTAACGTGGTTTGTAATCTCATCAGTACCTCACTCAGTAACTCATTAATTAATTCGTTCATAATCATTATCACACACTCATCACTCTGTAACCCACTCGCTCAGAGAGTTTTGGAAAATTTTCTGGACTCTCAGCCTGAGAATTTGACTTCAGGGACTCAAACTAAACAATCACTGTTGTGCCGCTCGCCGCCTGGGTCAACAAACACAGTGTCGGCTGCAGACACACACACCAACACACACACTCCAGCCAGCGTACTTGAGCTCTGCCTCACTGGCATCCTCACGCTGTTCTCCCTCTCTCTTTCCTCCGTCTCTTTGATTAATAACGCATAAATCAGACGCCATCACCAAACGACCTGCAGCTTTTCTTTCCTCACGTCCTTCACTCTCTTCCTCCTTTTCTCCCACTTCCCTCCTTCTTCTGTGGAGCTTCAGATGGTCCTTCTCCTCACTCATTGTTCTGGGATAAAACAGAGTTGCTCATTTACTGGCACTGAAGTTGTTTTTCCCCCGAGTTTATTTCTAAGGACGTTTACAGCTTTAACAGACGTGACAAACTGACACAAACAGATCTGGAGTGGGCAGCACGAGGCGGCTGAACTATCCTTAACT